TGGCTCAACCTCCTCCCTGGGCAGCCTGTTCCAGTGTCTGACCACTTTTTCTGTGAAAAATTCTTTCCTAATGTTCAGTCTAAACCTACCTTGTTGGAGCTTGAAGCCATTCCCTCTCGTTCTGTCATTAATTACCTGTGAGAAGAGACCAGCCCCAACCTCTCTACAGTGTCCTTTCAAGTAGTTGTAGAGAGTGATGAGGTCTCCCCTCAGCCTCCTCTTCCTCATACTGAACAGCCCCAGCTCCTTCAGTCAAGAGACTTCTTCTGCAGCCCAGTCACCCTGTTCCTCAAGTGCCTCTTTTGCCTGTGGCCATGTCTATTCAGCAATGGGACTTTTTCATTCTGCACCGGCCACAACCTTAATGTGCATGTTTTGGGGTGGGAGAATAGGATTTATTTGTTTTGCTTGGTATTTGATGTGGTTTTTTTTTTTTTTTGATGGCCCCTTGTCAAATTTCACTACAATTCTCCGTGGTCCTGCGCTGTGCTACTTGCTCTGGGAGCATGTCGTTCAAAAGATTAATTTTCATGTCCCTGCTTTAGCAGAGATGACAAAGAAAATCTGGCGACATCAGTTCTAAGTATTAAAACACCTCCCTTTTATCCCGGAATAGTCCTGTAGTGCTAAGAAATGGATGATTTTTTGCAACATTTGGGCTCTGGGTTGGCTCCTGTTCAATCGCCGCTCAGAGAGGCTTAATGTCAGTGTTACCTGCTGAATGTTCCCTGATCCCTGTGAGAATCAGCCTGAATCCCTTTCCCAGGGGCTCCCACAGCTCCAAACTACCCGGTGCAACACATTTTGCTGCCAGGATCTGTGGAGGCTGGCGATCAAGTTGGCACATCTCTCCCAGCCTGTCCTTGGCAGAAGAAGGGCCCATTCACAGGAGAACCTGGGACCAATATCTTGGGGCGATGCCCTTCCCTCTCCTGGCTGTGGGGAACCTCTTTAGCTGCCTGTCGTGACCGTGGTGTGATCCAGCATCTATAATTCAGGAGGGTGAAGTCACAGCTTGTGGTTTAAAAGGCCAAGTGGGAACCACAGGGGCTTGGAGTCGTTTACCGAAGAGACTGAGGAGATTTAGGAGGGATTGAGCGTGGTCCTTCAGGGTCTTGAAGTCAGTGGAGGCGAGTGCCACACTGCAAGGGAAGGATGCACCCTGTTTTATCCTTTTTAGGGGTATAAGGTGAGGCTGAGGCTGTTTGAAAGCTTTTAGGCTCTTTATGGAAGGTAAGGGCCACTGCAAAAATTCAGACCTGGAGCTGTGTTTGAGCACTGCCCAAAAGTAAAGGTTTATGCAGAATACTCTTTGAGTATAATCATAAAATACATCCCACTACATTAGCACCTCCCACTTGAAGGTCCCAGGCACGCTGCAAATTGCACTTAAACGAGGCCTAAAGTCCTAATGCAGGGTAAACTTTATCACCCCAGACTGGAAAGCTGAGGTGCAAACACCCCTTTTTATGAGCTGCTGCTGCAGAGGTCTGCAGGCAGGAAGGAAACATCCATCAAGTATTTAATCACACAGAAATACTTCTGGAGAGAGGTCTGGTTTGGACTTCCCTTGGGGTTCAGTTTTCACTCTGAGACCTGAGGAATGATGGCTCTTGTGGTTTAATTTAAACTAGTGGAAAGGCAATGTCATTTCCTCAGATAAATGTGTCACACTATTTGCAGCGTATTCCTGTAGCAGTGGGTTTCACCACTTCACGGTGCATAGGTTAAGGTGACAGAACATAAGAGTAAGTAGCTGCTGGTTTTGCTGCTGGTAGCACCTGGTTTACCTTAATTTGCTTCTGCTCGCAGGAGGTCCACCAAGCACATTGTCTGCAACACCACCGCCTCAGATGAAGGCTTTGAGAAGGTGAAGGTGTCCGTGAGAGTGGACAAGGCCAAGATACATCAGGAGTTGCAGTATGAGTATGTAGAAGATCCAACCATCCTGAGGATTGAGCCTGAGTGGAGTATCTTTAGGTAAGCACCCCATGGACATCCCCTAACACCTCCCATGGTTTTGTAATGCAGCACTGGTGTACTCATATTGGTCCCTGATTCAGAAAAGTGCTTTCCAAGTGTTGTGTTCAATAAGAAATAGATTTGTGCAGAGCTACTTCCTAGAGCCCAAGACCATGAGGGCCGGTGGACTTACCTCCTGGTTTGACCTTGGATGCTTGCTGTGTACCCCAGGATGAAATTTCCACAGACTCTAATGAGGGATGGGCAGAAGCAGAGTCCTTTTTCCAAAGAAAGTCCACATAGTCCAAACCTAAATGACCGTGCACCCCACTTTTGCTTATAGTGAGCAAAGCTTCCTGGTTTAACGCAGCAAACTCCAACTGCCGATGCTCACCAGAAGCTTGCCTTGGAGCCTCCATGCTTTAATTACAAAGATGGGTGCAGCAAGTCTCCAACCCAGTGCTGAAGCTTTCTGCCTCTTTACTGCAGCCCAGGGTTTTTCTCTGGCAACAGGATGGTCCCTGTCTAAGTAATATTACAGACCATTGGGGCTGGTAGGGATACATATTTGTGTCCCTAAAAGCCGCAATTCCTAGGGCTTGGAGTCTTTCTGACTGTCTTTCAGGTCCCGTTGGTCTGGGTCCACAGTTTTGCATGGCAGCAGGACCAGTCATTGGTATCTTAAACCCAGGCATAAATGTCAGAACTGTGCTTAGAGAAGTGAATCTCCCCTGGGTTTGAAAGCAGCAATTCATAGAATCGTAGAAACATTCAGGTTGGAAAAGACCCTTGGATTCATCGAGTCCAACCATCAACCCTACTCTACAAAGCTCTCCCCTGCACCATATCCCCCAACACCACATCTAAACGACTCTTAAAGACATTCAGGGACGGTGACTCAACCACCTTCCTGGGCAGCCTATTCCAGTGTCTGACCACTCCTTCTGTGAAGAATTTTTTCCTAATATCCAGTCTAAATTCCTACCTTTCCCACAGCCTTCATGGACTTACTGGCTTAGGACTAAGCTCTGCTTGTTTGGCCGTCATTCCTGAAGGCCCTAGGGCTGTCTCCTGGAAGGAAACACAAAGGGAGCCCTGGTCCCTGCCCCATCAAACAGCCTTCCTCCTCGTTAGGCATCCCTTTTTCTCTTCACCCCATTGATGCTGCTTTGGTGAATTCAGAGGGTTCACACAAAGGTGTCTGAGAGGAGCATTTGCCCTGGTTGTCGAAGGCATCAAAGGGGTACCCAAATGCTCTCAGAAGCCTGCAGAAATGGCCTTGGGAAAAGAGAAATTGGTCATTAAATGCACTGGTATTTCCTTCAAAAGATACAGAATAAGAAATCTTCGTCTCCCCTCATTCATCCACGGCAGCTCTCTGCTTCCCTGTCAAACCGGACTGATTGGAGTATCTGGGGATTAGGAGCAGGGCTTGTAAATCCCCCAGTTCAGCTCCCATCCAGAAGATGTTTTCACAAATCAATTAGTGCCTTTAATTACCATGAGGGAATTTACCGATTTAGCCGGATTGAATCTTTGCACATTGGGCTTGAAGCTTTAGCGTCTGGATTTTCCATTCGGGGTTTTTATTTTCAGTCAGAGTTCAGGTTATCGGTGAAATGAGAAATTGCTTTACTCCCTTTCTTATTAAAGTGAGTTCAGTGTTGGTTAAAAGGTGTAAGATTGACAGCCTGCAAGAGTGAATTCCCTTGTTATCCCCAAGAAAGTTGCAGCAGGGGGACTTTCCACTGCCTGGCCTCATGTCTGGTTGGGAGGTGAGAGGAGAAGTTCTCCAGAGCCCCTTTGCTTCTTGGTTTCTCTGCTGAAGATGCCAGCAAGGGATGAAGAAGGAGCTAAGGAGATGCTTCAGGTTTATTGGCCAAGCTTTACCCTGTCCAGGGTCGCAGAGACTCTGTCCCCCACCTCCCATCCCACCTCCCAGCATAAAGGAAATTAAGAAGACGTGCTTGTTTAGTGGATCCCAGTTTATTGGCAGGGTATGTAGCTGCTAGATCATAGAATCGTCTAGGTTGGAGGGGACCTTAAAGATCATCTAGTCCCACCATCAACCTGACTCTGACAAAAAAAAGAAATAAGAAATAAGCAATAAAAAAATCACTAAACCATATTCTTGAGGACCACATCAACCCGTCTTTTGAACAACTCCGGGGATAGATGGATGACTGGGACTCTACCAGTCTCATCACTCGGGTACAACCTCTACCCTTTGCTTTCTTCAGTGTCTCTGAAATCAGAAAGCATCCACTTGACCATTAATGGGTGCCTAATTTTTAGCCAGATCTCTTTCATCCTCTTTCTTGTGCCCTTTTGAATTATTCCAAACCTTGGAGGAGGGTACAGAGAGAGAAGATGCAATATCCAGGATTACCACCGTGGTTCAGGGTGTTGGGGACAGTTTAAGCACTATAACTCTTAGCTGTGGAGCTCCATCCAGCAACTTATAATGAAGACAAGCATTAGAGAAACGCCTCCACACATAGAATCATAGAATCTAGGTTGGAAGGGACCTTAAAGAACATCTAGTCCAACCATCAACCTAACTCTGACAAAAAAATAAGTAAGAAATAAGCAATTAAAAAAATAACCAAACCTAAATCAAATTCTTGAGGACCATGTCAACCCGTCTTTTGAACACCTCCAGGGATGGTGCCTCAACCACTTCCCTGGGCAGGCTATTCCAATGCTGGATCAGCCTTTCCATGAAGAAACTTTTCCTAGTATTCAATCTAAACCTCCCCTGGCACAACCTGAGGCCATTTCCCCTTGTCCTGTCTCCTGTGACTTGGGAGAATGGAGCTGGATGAAAGTGCAGCCAACTCCAGCCCTGAGAATCGAGCAAGAATTAAGTTAATCAAGACACGTGGATCTGGAGATAGACTGAAGAGGCTGTTCCTCGGTATATTTGTTATGCAGTATGATTCATTACAGCAAATCCACTGAGCTTCTCTGATTCATCACTCCTGGCTGTGGGGCTAAGCTGTTTTGAGGCATAGATGATTGCTACTAAACCAGCTTTGCAAAATTAGTAAATGAATGTACCGAGCCTGGTTTAAAACCTTCTCAAGTGCCATTTTCCAAGACAATAAAGAAAAGATTACTGCTAATTTACTCCCAGAGCCAAAAAAAAAAAAAAAGAAAAGAAAAGAAAAAAGTCACGCTGGTCTGGCAGGTAACTAGAATTTTATGAGGCTCCATTAATAGTTTTTGATCTGGGTTTGATTTGGGTTGCACCCAGCAATTATCTGACTCTGTAGCTAGAAAGTTAAGCTCGGGGTATTTTGGGACAATAAGGAGTTAAATTAAGAAAGCTCATAGTTTTGGCACCTCTGTTGATTGGCTGGGCAGCAGCATCAGTGTGTCTCCAGGCTCTGATCCCACCTGGGCAAGAAGTGGCTGTGACCATGCCTTCACCTGCAGACACCACAGGCAATGGCTGGTGGTTTTCATCCAACGGCAAGCAACAGTTGGATTTTCCTGATGTGCAAGCCAGAGAGGGCTTTGAGGTGATTTTGTGCAAACACAACTGCTTTGGCTTTTTTTTTTTTTTTTTTTTTTTTTTTCCCTCTATTAATTAATGACTCTCCAATGAGTTGGGCAGTTGGGTGATCAGAATTTTCCCTTTATTTTTTCATATTTTTTTTTTTTTTTTTTTTTTTTTTTCCCCTCAGAGAAAAGACCCCTCTCTGATCTGGTGCTGTGGCTGGGCTTAATACCTGTGGTCTGAGCCTGCAAGCTCAGTTTCCAAACTAAATACAGAATTTTTAACACGTGGGTTTAAAACTGTGTGCACAGACTTGGTTGATTAAATAAAAGGATTTATGTATATATACACACAGTCATATATCCATACGTATGTGCTTACATTTGATACGTCTGGAACACGTAAAACTTTCAGCTGAGCAAAGATACAAAATCCCTTCCAGTTTGAATCAGCAGAGATTCATAATAATAATAAACAATAATAAAAATTATAGAGGCCCACAGCTAAAAATCCAGAAGAACCAAGATAATAGAGAAAAAACAACTTGGTTTATAAACTTTTCTTCTGGTTTCTGACGAGCGAGGTCTCCCTGGGTCAGATCAGGAATACTTAACGTGAAGCTGAATTTTGGGAGGAGAGTTTTTTGGGGTTTTTTTTGTGTAAGGCTGGAAGGGGACGCTTTCTTGTGAGAGGATGTGTGACTTCAGAAGAGGTCCCTTGTGCATTCAAGAGAGCTCAACCATCTAAGCGGATCTTATGGAAATGGCAAAATGTGTTTTTGCCCCATAAAATTTCCCATTAGAAATTTCCCATCACAGCTGATGGTTTTAGAGAGCCAGAACTTGAGGTGCTCTGCAAAACTCAAGGTCAAGCCTTGTCCTATCCATGGATCAGTCCGAAAAGGCATTACTTGAATGAAAGACCATAAGGAACCTGTCAGAGAAGTGCCACGGGAGCACCTGTCAAAAGACATGGTGGTGACAATGCTCTTTGGTAGAGCTCATGGCTTCCAATCTTCAGGCTTCTTAGTCACATTGTCTATGTTTAAACCAGTAAGTACTTAATTCAGGTCTGTTCTTTGGTCCTGAAGTCACTGAGCATGCATAGCCCTCATCCCTACCACCCACCAGCATCGATGGCCACCAGCCAGGGTTTGAATTGGTGTCCTGGCCATCTGGCTTATCGATGTGGGTGTAAGTAAAGGGTCTGAAGCACAGTCCCAGCTTGCTGTGGCCAGCTCACCAAGACCTGGTGGCTACGCTGCTGAGCAGGGATGTATATTTGCATTCATTCCTGCCTGCCCCATCTGATTAATAATGGAAGATAAATGAGGAACATGGGAAACCAAGGTCAGATCTGTTGGTCAATACAGGCTTCTTTGTTGCAGCGTGTTTATTCCCTGGTGTTTTCTCATTTATAATGCACTTGTTTCACCTTTCATGTGTACGTAGGTTTACCTGGAGGCAGGAAAGGGATTCTGAACTTGCTTTTCCCAATCCCACTGATCTCCGTGTGGCCTCCCATTCTCAGCAGAACACTCCAGGAAACAAATTGCATCCTGGAGAGTTTCCAAAGGGAGTTACAGAGGCAGGTGCCGCGAGCGATGAGAACCCTCCTCACCCTGGGAAACCCTCAGAGACGGGGCTGTCTGTTGATGACATTTCCTCATCCTGCTCTGGCTGTGAGAGCTTTGACAGCTGAAGGCTTTGTTTTCTCAGATGACTCTTCCCCCTTCAGCCCTTGCATCACATTGTCTCTGCCACCGTGCTGCAAAGGGAGAGCTCAGCCTGGTAGAGCAATGCAGCTTCGATTTGGGATGGCCTAAGCTGCCGAGGGTGAACCCTTCCCCTTAACATGGTCTTCAGCCCATACATCAGCTCCTACTGAAGCCTGGGAATAATCCTTTGCAGTTTCCTTCCTCCCTCCCTCCCCTTCGCTCCCTGAAGTCCCACAAACAGCACTGCCAGCTGCAGCTGGAAGAGGCAAGGGAAAGGGAAGAAGGGTGTTTCTGAAAGCTGTTTCCTTCTGTCCCTCTACTCTGCTCTCATGAGACCCCACCTGCAGTACTGCATCCAGCTCTGGAGCCCTAAGCACAGGAAGGACATGGACCTATTGGAGCAGGTGCAGAGGAGAAGATGATTAGAGGGCTGGAGCACCTCTCCTATGAAGACAGGTTGAGGGAGTTGGGGTTGGAGAAGGGAAGGCTCTGGGGGGACCTTGTAGCAGCCTTCCAACACCTAAAAGGAGGCTACAGGAGGGATGGGGAGGGACTCTTGATCAGGGAGTGGAGCCATAGAACGAGGGGTAATGGTTTTAAACTGAAAGACGGGAGCTTTAGAAGAGATATCAGGAAGAAATTCTTTCCTGTGAGGGTGGTGAGACACTGGAACAGGTTGCCCAGAGAAGCTGTGGCTGCCCCATCCCTGGAGGGGTTCAAAGCCAGGTTGGAGGGGGCTTTGAGCAACCTGGTCTGGTGGGAGGTGTCCCTGCCCAGGGCAGGGGGGTTGGAACTGGATGATCTTTAGGGTCCCTTCCAACCCGAACCATGCTATGATTCTATGACAGTGACTGCAGGCAATGAGAAGGGCTCCGTCTACATCTTCGCGTCTTAAGTTGGGCTGAGAGACTGTTACAAAAGTGAGAAAATCTTCCAGATGCAGGGTTGTGGCTCGTATGAATCATCTTTGCCAACAAATCAATCCTTGTCTGAGCAAAGGGACACAGTGACTGGAATCCTCTATTCCATTCTAACACACATGGCAGAGCTTATCTGCCTGGATCACCAAATGGAAACCAATCAAACGCCTTACACATACCAAGACTGGAGACTTGGCTCTTTCTTCAAGATGCTGCAGGACCAGGTTCCCAGGCAGCACTGAATTGTGTTCACTGAGGTGACGTTATCTTATTCAGGGTGATGTTTTTATAGGAGGTTCAATGTGCAAGATGGCACTACAGCCTCAACGAAGGTAGCGCTGAATCCTCAAGAGCTTCTTGCACAGGACAATATCTATGAGGGGTTTTTCAGGCTCCCTTCCTCAGTGGTATGGGAGATATAGACTGTGGACCATTCTGAAGAGCCCCTGTTAAAATTTCCCACTCTTCGCATTACTGAAGGTTGTGGTTGCTGAGCCCTAACATGAAAAACACCCAAATTCCTGGTTGATGTGGCAGTTTTAGGAAGCATGTGGTTTTGCTTATTTCTCCCCTTATGAATGAATGAAAACAAACTTACTTTGTTTTGCTTTTCCTTCCCTTCCTATGGGACTGGGAGATGAGGTCAGACACTCTACAATCAACATTTAGGAAAACAGATCACCTGTTGTTGGTGCAATCAGTCCTGATGTTTATTAGCTGGGTTCATTTGTGTCTTCTATTTCTTCTTCTCTAGTGGCAACACACCCATTGCAGTGTGGGGAACTCACCTAGACCTCATCCAAAACCCTCAGATCCGGGCAAAACACGGTGGAAAGGAACATGTTAACGTGAGTATGACTGCTGAACTGGAAGGTGGACGTGTCCAAGGTGGTAATAGGGTCTGAGTAGCAGCTCAGGACATTGAAATCTCCTGTTGAATCCAAAAAAGAGGGCATGACTTGCTTTCAGAAAGATTATCACATCCATGCTCCGTAGATTACCCATCTAATGCTGTATGAAGGAGCACTGGACCAAAGAGGGAGCAGAAAGAGGTGTTATTAAGGGTTATTCAGCTCCTGGTGAGTCTGTTTCTTCTGTTGGCTCAAGGATACTTGTCTTTTCTTTCGGGCCATGTATAAATTATGTTATTTATCAGCTATGCCTGTGCACAAGTAGACCCAAATTCAGGTTATTAGCTTAGGGTACTGGGATCAGAAGGGACTGTGAATAATACTCTTTGGTACTACTGTGTCCATTCCCTGGTCTATTTGGGTCCTGCAAGGGTATATCCACATTTCAACAGCTATGTTTACAGCCAAATTCAACTCTTCAGTGACCAGTGAGGGATCAGAAGCATCTCTGTGGAGGCCAGCAGAGCTGGGAGGACAATTCACTTGGAAGGAGCCAATTGACAGGAAGGAGCTGCTGAGCAGCTCCAGATAGAGCTGTAAAAGGTGTGAGTTTAGCACCTCTGATTAGGAGACTGAGGAGCAGGCAACATCTACTGGTACCTACGGGTTGGAGGATGGAGCCATGCAACAGCATCTGAAAAAGTGTTGGCTGTGTATGGGCACTTCCTGAGAGCATCCCAGAAGAAGCAGCTCCATAAGTTCAAAATACAGAGGGACTAATTAGAGTGGGGGCAGAAAGTTCAGGTCTTCTGAATTTCTCAGGTTTTAATATTAATCCATGGGTTTTCCACCCAAGGCTCTCAAAGCACTTTGTGGACATTAAAATCATCTGCTGCCACGTGAACAATGGTGAGACTGTCGTAGGTCTGAAAAGAAAATGCAGGAATATATGGGGTAGATTCATTTACTTCTACGGCTTGCAATATTGAGACACCTAAATTTTACTCTTACCCCAGCTCTACTAGGGACTAATATCTCCCTTCATAAATCCAAATTCAAATCAATTTCATCACCTCTCACACCCTATCAGATTCTGGAAATATCTGTTGAGATTGGTTTCCAGGTCTGATGTGAATTTTGACTGACAATGTCCCAGTCCCTCAAGAACTCTGACAAAACCCTGGTCTAGCTGATTATGCATATTCATAGGTATGTTTTGGTAATGCTTTGTATTTCCTGGTACAGCACAGTCAAATGCTTATTTAGCTTTCCTGCAGAATGAGAAGGTTGCATGACTTCATCTTATCCTTCCAGCAGACTCCAGCTCTTGCCTGACATAGTGGTCTCAAACAATCATGCCATTGTGCAGATGATGAAGCCCATTCATCATCTCACATGTGCTCATGTAGAACTGCCCATCAGTTTTGTGCTTGGGTATACACCGGTGTCTTTTCTTCCTTGTACAAACTCTTACAGCAAAGAACATCTGACTTTACAATATAAAACTACCTGGTGCAAATCACTTCTCTCCAAACAAAATTAGCCTGTGAGCTATGCTGTTTGTGATAATGAGCCTCCTCTCAATGCTGGAGGTATTGGACTGGTTTGGGGAAGACTCTCATATCAAGGACAGCTGTGATCCCACAAAGCTGGTGGAGTTTCACCATAGAGCCTCTTGATTCCTGGTGAGACCAGGATGCATTGTGCTGGCAATCATGATACAGAAAGGAGGCTCAGATCCTGAAGGACAACCAGACATCTAATTCCTAGTGGTTTAAAGTGGAAGTCGGGGTAAAAACACCTTTCACCATCTATTACCAATTTCTGATATACATAAAAAGGCAGGTCTTTGGCAGGGCTGGGACCAAACTTCAGGGTCTTCTGCAACCTACCTCATTGTGTTCATCTCTCCGGCTTCCTGGGCTACATTTCAGGTGACCTGCTGTTCAAACAGGAATCTGTTTGGGCATTGCACTGCACATGCACTTTTGGAATGATCCCCAGAGCATGAGAGTTAATTGGAGGTGGAAGTGAGGCTTTGATGGATTAAAAAAAAAAAAAAAAAGGGAAGAAATTTATATTTCCAGAAGGAAATAAGGTTAGGAGAAGATGCTGACACTGACAACCCCAGGGGCTGAGCTCCCTCAGGGAAGAGGGACAGGATGCCCAATTGCAGTGAAAACTGCTCCACACACCTACCCCAGCCTTGATTGTGTGATGGGTGTGGGGAATATTTTGAAGCAGTGGAGCACCAAGGAGGTCTACTTCTCCCTGTCCTCTGGCAGTAGGTAGGCCAGCATTTCACTGGGAGGTATCTGCCTGCCAGGAGGATGGATGAATTTTTCCATAAACTTTCTTTGTGTTGGTTTTCTTTCTCCAGAATTGCGAGGTGCAGAACAGCACAGAAATGACCTGCCAGGCTCCAGCACTGGCTGTTGACCCCAATCACCAATCTGAGCTTGCTGAGCGTCCAGAGGAGTTTGGCTTCATTCTTGACAACGTGCAGTCCCTGCTCATCCTCAACAAAACCAACTTCACCTACTACCCAAATCCAATCTTTGAGGTTTTCAATCCCTCGGGGATCCTGGAGCTGAAGCCGGGAAGTCCCATCATTCTGAAGGTGAGATGGGGACCAAGGCCTGGATGAGGAAGGACAAAGACATGCTGGTTATTGCCTCTCTGTGTCTGCCAGCACCCCACAAATCACAGTGGCATCCCGATTGCATCCCAGACATTTCCTTCAGTCATTGCACCTACTGTGTCACATCATATCAGAGTCACCATCTGCAGACACAAATCACTGCTCAGCATCTGCCAATACCCATAAATAAAAAATATAAACTCCTGCTGCAGCTACCTCTGTACAGCATAATTTTTTACCCTGTTTTGCTCACCAGAGAAGAACATTTTCTTCCACTGCAGCAGGGTTGGCAATTAAATACCCAGGTCTATTTCTTTCTCAGCTTTTCAAGACCTTCCTCTTACCCCCAGTTAAATCCTACACCATTCCTTTGCCATTTCTGTAATCTGGACAGCAATACAGAGAAGGAATTTTATGACTGAACATTTCCCTATCAACACTTATATGTGGTGCATGTGCAAAGAAAGGATTTGCAGAATATCTTCTTGCATATTTGGAAAGGAGTCTGTTTTACTTCCCTGAATATGCTTTGTGAGGGCCTGTTTCTGCAAGACTTACACAAAAACCTTTCTCCTTTAGTTCCAGAGAGAGAGGAGCAGGGCTGGCTGTTTTGGTTGATGATGTTCTGTAGCAATTCTTGGTGTCCTCTGCATGGCTTTCTAAATTGACTCTTCCCCTCTGTGTTAGAGAATGGTGAAACACAAATGTCAAGCAAGAGGTGGAAGGCAAACTCTTTCCTGATTTGCTTGGTTTTTGGGGGGGGGGTGATATTTCTTTCTATCCAGGGCAAGAACCTGATCCCACCAGTGGCAGGAGGGAATGCCAAGCTGAACTACACTGTTTTGGTCGGTGAAAAGCCCTGTGCAGTGACCGTATCAGACGTGCAGCTACTGTGCGAGTCCCCAAACCTCATTGGACGGCATAAGGTGATGGTAAGTGGTGCTTGAACCTCATCAGCCTTTCCTTCCTGGGTGGGTTGGGGGAACACACCAGTGCTGAGGAGCTGGCAGAGATCTCCCAGGAGTTTGCACCACCATTTACCTTCCATAGATTGCATAAAAATCACAGACCCTTCTTGCTATAATATCCCCATCAAGAGTAACTTGGAGAAGTAGAAGAGTAACCTGGAGATCTTTATGGACAGTGAGAAACCTTTCATGATCAAAGCCCTTTAGGAAAGTTTGTATCTCTTCTGTTTTTGTATGGACTGTATTTCAAGGCTAGGCTGGATGGGGCTTTTAGCAACCTGGTCTGGTGGGAGGTGTCCCTGCCCATGGCAGGGGGTTGGAACTCAATGATCTTTAAGGTCCCTTCCAACCTAAACCATTCTATGATTCTAACCCTAGATGCTAATGTGAGTTCATATATGTAACATGTTCCTGACATGACATACTTTGTTAAATTGAGCACGGCCCTAGATGCTAATGTGAGTACATATGTGTAACATGTTCCCGACATGACATACTTTGTTAAATTGAGCACGGTCCATAGCATACATTAACATACCAGTGGCTAAAATATGCCATTATGTAGGAATAAAATTAAAAAAGAAAAAAAAGAAAAGAAAAAAAAACAGGATATGGACTCGATATGGACTCTAGTGTGACAGGACTTTGAGCAGGATATGGACTCGATATGGACTCTAGTGTGACAGGACTTTGAGGGTTGATGTCTATACAACTTAGAATACTCCTGCACATCCTGCTTGGAACCTGTGAAAAATGGACCTAGTGATTAGATCAGAGGGAGCTTCTCCTATCACCACTGATTTATTCACTCCCTCTTTACTTTCCTCTCAGTAATTTGCATTCCTCAATGCTGTTGCTTGATAAACAGCACATCAGCAAACTCATCTGAGTTGTACCGAGCTGTGGGTGGAAACACAACAACCGACATCAGACATACAGATGATCAATGTTTCTCATTCCTTGTGATCAACTTTTTTCCACCTCACTGTTGCCCTCCCAAATCTGTGATATGTCATATATTTATTTCAGTGCAGTAAGACTCATAGGGGTTGATGGAAACACACTGCATAGCTCTTTGAAAAGAGAGTTTTCTGAGGATTTTCAAAAAATAGAGTTTATGGTGACCATTTTGGGTCTCATTTGTGACTGCTGCTGGAGACCTCATACTGGCTACTTAACTTTTCTCTGCCAAAGTTTGTCATCTGGAAAATAGAGGTAATAATCCTTTCCAGCCATGCAAATACACCGTGGCTCTTGAATCATTGTGAAGTACCTTAAGACACTCCAAGAGGGGTAATAATGAAGCGAGAGATTTTCTCTGTGTGAATACCAAAGCTTTTGAACAAGGCAATATACGTTCCCTGTCATTTTCATGAATATAATTAAACATATGGTTAGTCAGAGATGGACAAAGCCAACCCTAGAGAGACAAAACTCAAAGTCAGGTGAGCAATAATCAACCCCTGGGGATCAGGGAGGATGAACATCTGGTCAGGTCTTACTAATTGGAAAGACTCCCCTGTTCCTGCAGTTTGGGACAGCTTAAGTGAAGCCATAGAGAAAAAAATAATCCCTTTTTGGGGACACTGATCAAACAAGAGATGCTGCTGGAATCATGGGAAGATGATCGCATTGAAGCCTGTTAATGAGCATCAGTATTAGGGGCAAGTTACAGATTTCTCGTTCAACTGCCAACAGTGAGGCAACACTTTGACAGTATCTGGGCTGGGAACCAAGTACAGAAGGTCACCTGCGATGGAGGCCAGCGCTCAAGGATGGACTTTGCATCTGGAACTTACCAGAGGGACAGCTGGGCTGGGAAATGCCTCCTCCAGCACGGCACAGCATCTCTGTTGCTCAGTTGGTGCAAAATGTATCCCCATGTTTGACATGAATGTCACTTTGATGGTCAGGATAATTGACAGGTAGCTCTCTCAGGTGTTCCTCCTGTTCCTGCCAGCAATTTCCCGTGTGACTGTGGGTAAATTGCTGAACAAACCCTTTCTTGCAAAGTGAGGTGGCCTAGATCTGAGAGGGGACCATGGGAGTGAATCAGCCATTGAGATGATTTCTGAGGAGGAAGGAATAGTGACAATGAGACACATTGATGTCAACATGGTTTTGATCTAGTTCAGATCAGAGTTAAATATTTTGAAAAAAAAACCAAAAAAGAACTAAAAGGCCTGAGCAATGGCTAGAAAAGATTGACTAAAGCCTAGAGGCAAGCTCTTTTCCAAGGAAAAGAGACATGAGGAAGATCCATGAGATTGATGAGGAAGATCAATGAGGAAGATCCATGTCTTCACAAGGTCTGAGGTGAAGAAGTGGAGTATGTTTGAAGGGTTGTTGGTATCTAATGTAGGTACATACGTATGGAAAGTCACACTGGACTCTTTGTATAGTGAATGGAGAGGTGGTCAAATACAGCAATTGAAGTTCAGGGCACAATTCATCTCAACAATTCATCTCAAGTGTAGACACTTACATTTGGCCAGGGCAAACTTGCTGTAGGGAGGACACTACCGCGGTTGAGTTTTGCACAACAGGAACTCCAGAACTGCTCCAGGTGGCCCCTCAGGAGAAAACTGGTCTCTGCCATAATGCCATTTAGAACAAATTAATGATTAGCAGGTTTAAAAGGTAGACAAACTGTTGTTTGATAATTTGGAGGGCTCATGTTCAGTCTTCTGGAGGTTATAAATAACTTCCTTCAGAAACACCCAGTGGCCCAAGAAATAAAGTAGGGCTATGTCTATATATTTAGTTGTTTTTCTTTTGAACGTTCCCAGTCGTACTGCAGCCTCGCAGACTTTCTGCTTCAAGAGACAGATTCCCTCAGATCATGGCAGTTTGATTCATGTATTGTGAGACCTTCCCAGTGTGGGAAACCACCTCTAGAGAGGAATGCAGTGGGGCTAACTATGTTAGACACCTACCTCTACATCCCCTTACAGTTAAAGGAGAGAAACAGGAACTTCCACTGAATGAAACGTCTCATCCTGATGTCAAAAGCAGCTGACATAAATCACGTTCTGAAAGTGCTTTCTCTCTGCATTGGCTCTGTAATGTCTAACTCAGATGTGCGTGTGGGATGTTTGGTAAGAGGAATCCCACCCATGGAGATGGGCTGTTCTGCGAGCTTTGAGGACAGACCCGCAGTGGGGACTGGGAGGGGGTGGTTTGATTCTAGTCTGATACTCTTCAAATGGACTCATCTGACTGCAAGGCTGGGAGGAAAAGGGCCGCTGTCGGAAACAGAAAATGAAATATAATTTATCTGTTTATTGATCCGCTGTGACAGGGAGGCAACTGTGCAAACTAGGGAGCAAATTTTGCTGGGAGGAATTGGGACAGTGGTCTAGGGTGAAAGGCAACAGCTTTTATGGCTTCAAGCTCCAACAGGGTAGGTTTAGATTGAACATTAGGAAAGAATTTTTCACCAAAAGAGTGATAGGGCATTGGAACAGGCTGCCCAGGGAGGTGGGGGAGTCACCATCCCTGGATGTGTTTAAGGGACGTTTAGATGCAGTGCTAAGGGACATGGTGTAGGGGAGGACTTTGTAGAGTAGGGGAGATGGTTGGACTCGATGATCCCAAGGGTCTTTTCCAACCTAGATGATTCTATGATTCTTTCAGTGCTTAGATTAGCATGTGAGCCTGGCAGTTTGTCTTCTCAGTTGAGTGTGTCAACGCCAAATCTCTGCCCTTTGCAGGCTTTAAAAATGGGTTGGACCTTGCATCTTAGATAGTAAGTGCTGCATCCTCAACTTACATGGTAAAGACCCTCTACGAGTCATCAGTGTTGTGCTACAGATTGTTCCTTGGCCACTGAAGATGCTCTACAAGTCATCAATGTCACACTACGTGAACGGTCACCTTGAAAATCTTTTCCCTGGTCAAATGAGTTTAGGTTTGGTTTCATTTCCCATTGTGGACATTGTTAACTTTCTGGAGCCCATCCCAAAATGCTTAGGAGTATTCAGGACATGAGAAGACCTTGTGGAGGGAAATTAGATATTTCCAGATGTTTGCTTTTGTCCTGTCCAAGACATAAGGGTTACATCTAGGTGGCTTTGGCCAGAACCAGCTGAGGAACAGCCTACAGCTGGTGCTAGAGCAAAAAAGATATCTTCTCAGAAGTTTTAACTGGGGCCAGAATCATTTCTAGGAGATGATGGGGTCACAGAGATTCATGTCCCCAGCAAGGGCTGTGGTGGTGAGGAGCGAGAGCTGCTGGAAAACTTTTCATTAATTCATGACTCTCTGCTCCGTGGTCTCTTCTGCTGGCTCCAAGCCTTCCTCCTTGGGCCAGTTTCTTCCTCCTGCAATCTAGAGAGGAAACCTGAGTAGGTGCCTGAGCTGAGGCATGGGAGGCCTGCAAACTGGCTGGAGATAGACTGATTAACTGAGAGCCAGTGGGATGAAGGACAAGGCCAACCAGCAGGCTGGGATGTGGGGGATGTTTTCACTAGCTGCTGTGTGAGCTGGGAAGTTGAGGCAGGGCTCCTCATAAAAGAGAAAGAAAAGGGTTCAATCGCATGCTGCAATGGTCCCAGCTGAAGTGGGAGGGGGAAGCACATAGCCCTGGGGTCTTGCCTGAATTTCTGCCCAGCAGCAGGATTTTGCAATTTGTGCAGGGCCTGCTCTGCCTCTCCGTGACAAAGCTCAGCTGGAGTGAAGTGATGGGCTTCATCACCATGTCATGAACCTTCAAGGTTTTTGCATGGCATCTTCCCAGCTTTACATTGATCTATAACCAGTGTTCCCCTACCACACAGCACAATCCTAGAAGCCTTCTTTATACCTTGAGCTAGTCAGCAGTGCCTTTCCCCTCGCCACTCAGCCCAGTTCTAGAAGCCTTCTTTATACCTCAAGTTAGTCAGCAGTGCCTTTCCCCTCGCCACTCAAACTTCTCCTACTCTACAAATAGCCTTGAACAACCTTGGAGTAGCCTTGAGCGAGTAGTACCCTGTGGGACTACTGCTGGGAGTGGTGTTCATGTTGTGAAAATGGGCTCCTAACAGGCTCGCTTCAGTAGAGCATTTTGTAGGGCTTGCAGCAGTATGGCCAGCAGGGTTTCTTTCTGGATGTTCAAAGCAAGGTCCTTGCACAGCAGCTTGTCTTGGAGGCTGGGAGCAGCCCTGGGAACCTCTGGGAGTACATGGGGAGCAGGAAGCTGTGTTCACCTCCCTGCCCTCCTGGTGAGCATCTGCAGTAAAAAAAAAAAACATGAGCCAGGCTCTGTGTTTTTTTCCTGTCCTAGTGGCTTCTAAATACAGGTTTCTCCACCTGAAAAGTCAAAAGCAAATCGTGACTCGGATTTCAACCTTCCCACTGCCCTGTCAGCTGTGTTTGTTAGATGTTCCCCGTCCTGTTATGAGGTTAGGACCCACCAGACCATAGCCATGAGCTGTGTCCTATGTGCATTTTGGGACTAAATGTCATCAGGGCAGTCTGGTACAACATAGCTGTTTGGGACACGGAATGGAAAACCCAGAATGAACCCCAAACTGCTGTATAGCCAGGGTATTGGGACAAGTGAGATTTGTCTCACCTGAAGTCCTTTGTTGGTTGGGTTCATGGTCACTCTGTGAACAGAGGTGCTTCTCCATCATATTTCAGGTGTTTTTTAGCCATTCTCTATCCAAATACTTCATGCACTTCATACCCTATTTAACTTGGGAGACAAGGGGAGATCATCATTCAGCCTTAGTCAGGAAGATGATGGAGTTTCTCCGAGTTCCTGCTTATTCGGCGGTTTCAGTGTGACTTTTTCCTTCCTTCCCTCTAGGCTCGTGTAGGAGGGATGGAGTTCTCCCCAGGGATGGTCTACATCTCTCCAGACAGCCCTCTCAGCTTGCCAGCTATTGTCAGCATTGCGGTGGCCGGCGGCCTGCTCATCATCTTCATCGTGGCTGTCTTGATTGCCTACAAGCGCAAATCCCGAGAGAGCGACCTCACCCTCAAGCGTCTACAGATGCAGATGGACAACCTGGAGTCCAGGGTGGCCCTGGAGTGCAAAGAAGGTAGGATGAGGAAGGAAGGCTGTCACTGTGTCACAGTGTTGGTAGGAGAGAGAGAGATCCAGCCACAAAGCTTTGAGCCAGAGTATCACAAGTTAAAAAAGGGGTTTGAACCCTGTGGGTACGACTCAAGCCTGGATTTGAGGTGACTTTGCCTATTTTCCTCAAGATCAGCCTTCTTCCACCCTGTTCTGACTGCATTTGTTAACTCACAGTCCAGGGAGAGCCTTGGCACATGGTCCTGGGGAAAAGCTGTGTTATAGGAAAAGTGAGACTGCTCTTGTCCACCACCTCTTCCTCTCCCTGTGTTGCCCCTCCACTTGTAGCTTAGTCTCATGCATGTGGGTCTGAGGGCTTTTCCCACTACAGTGGTGGAGATATGGACTGTCATTGCTACATGAGCCGTTCCTTTTCTTTTGTGTCAGCTTTTGCAGAGCTACAGACAGATATTCACGAGCTGACAAGCGATCTGGATGGAGCAGGCATCCCTTTCCTCGATTACCGAACCTACACCATGAGGGTGCTTTTCCCTGGCATTGAAGATCATCCAGTCCTGAGGGATCTGGAGGTAAGAAATCAACTTCTCCTGCTTCTGGCTCCTCTCGCGCCTCCGTGTTTTGTCCTGAATGCAAGAGATGTTGTGTCAGTGGTGGGGATGTGATGACTTGAGCTACAGACAGATATTCACGAGCTGACAAGCGATCTGGATGGAGCAGGCATCCCTTTCCTCGATTACCGAACCTACACCATGAGGGTGCTTTTCCCTGGCATTGAAGATCATCCAGTCCTGAGGGATCTGGAGGTAAGAAATCAACTTCTCCTGCTTCTGGCTCCTCTCGCGCCTCCGTGTTTTGTCCTGAATGCAAGAGATGTTGTGTCAGTGGTGGGGATGTGATGACTTGTAATGCTGTGTCCTACCAGGGACAAAAAAACAACTCATTAAAAATCCAGATTGAAAGAGGAAGAGGATTGCTGCTATTCTATTTGATCACTCATCTATTTGGAAGAGTCTCATAGATTTGTGTCCATTAGGTCTACTGTATTAAGCTCTACAGGTCTACTGTATAACCTGGTCTGGTGGGAGGTGTCCCTGCAACCTGCTCTAGTTGGGAGGTGTCCCTGCCCAGGGCAGGGGGGTTGGAACTCGATGATCTTTGAGGTCCCTTCCAACCCAAACCATTCTATGATTCTAAGCTCCTTCTTGGTTTTCATCCCGCTGGATTTTGTTTTTTAGACTGGATTTCTTAGTTACTGCTGTGCAGGGGCCAGGAAAAAAGTCATATGGCAAAGAAGCATAACTGCCTGTGTCACTCTAGCTTTGCACGACACTGACACTACCAAGAAGCCTTTTTTTCCTGGTAACACCTAGAGAAATAACCTGCAGTCACTGAAAGAGGTCCACCTTTTCTTTGCTCTGTGGTTTGCAGTGAGATCAGAAAACCACAACATCAGTCTGCCCATACCCTGCCCACATCTGCTTTCCCCACCCCAGCTCTCCAAACTGCAGTGGTGGGACCATGGCAAGACCCCAGGGCTGTTGAGGTCTACACACAGCCTGCGTTACTTCACTGGTGACAATGGGTTTGATGGGACAACGGGTGAGGTCTGCCCATGCTGGAAAACTGCTTCAGGCTTTGGCAGATGGACAGGCTCTGCTCTAGGGATACCTGGGCCAGAGAAGCAGGGGATACACCATGGCCAAGGCCAGGGAGGTCATTGGCCGGGCTCTCTCAAAGTCTTTGGCAAGCTCTCAGCTTCAGAGGCTCTGGCATGGGCTGGTGAGATTGCTGGAGGCCAAGACTGGGGTTAGTTGGCAGAGAGGAGGAACAGGAGCTGGCGCAGGCAATGCCATGCTTGGCTGGCTGTGTAATCAGAGGTGCCTGCTCATCTTTGCTCCTTCCCTTCAGGAGAGCCAAAATTCATCAAACTGTATGGAAAGAACCACTAAAAAACCATGATCTGTCAGCAACGAGGGCTTGTGGGGATGGGTAGGAGAGTGAGTTACACATTGACTACTGTAGATATTTGCCTTTGGGGTGCAAGTAGAGTGGCCTCAAGCTGCTGTCCCTCAGGGAGAGTAGCTCAGCAGCTTCAAAAAAATGAGCACAAGAGATGAGGGTATGTATACGCACACACACATACAAACACTTTCATCATACCCACAGCCAATTTCAATCCCTATGTTCATTAACCTCCACCAGCTGACCACAGAATAACATCTGACCCCGACAGAGGTTTTAGCATGGATGCTCCTGTATGCAGATACATACAGAGAGACTCAGAGGTGATGTTTCCATCTGCCACCTTTGATCTCTTCTTCCTTTCATTTCATTCATTTTTATTTTTTTTTTTTCCCCTTCATCCTCTGTAAAGCTTCAACAGCTCTTTCAGTGTCAATATCTTTGGCTACCAACATGTCAGGGAAGGCACTTCCCATTCTGCTCCCTTTTCTGTAGCACCTAGGAGTTGCTATTTATTGGAAAAAGCCCCAGTATAGATCCTGCGGTGAGCAAGTCTTACTTATTTCCAGTTCATTTGCTAATTAACTGCTTCCAGATGCAGTGCAAAATACTTTTCTTGTTGCTTGGTTTTTTGTTTGTTTGTTGGTTTTTTTTTAGTTCTGCATAATAACCTGGGGATAGACAATATTAAATGTTCAAGCAAGTGAGTTAAAAGTAATTATTGGCGGGATGGGTGGTAGTGGTTGGTTGGTTGGTTGTCTCAAGCTATTTACTAAGTAATTTATTTGCTGTATGCAAAAAACAGTTTAGAGCTCTAATTTCCAGAATGAAAAAGTAATGAGTCTTTAAAGGGCCTTGCATTACTTGGTTGTTTAAGCATGCCAACTTATTTTGGATTAAAGTGCCAAATCTGGTTGGTTATTAATACGTAGATGCCTCAGTGACATTTGTTGCTATTTATTGAGACCCTGGAAACTGTTTCAAGGGCTGGAACAGTTTCAGCAGCATGGAGGAATGAGTTTGGGGTTCTCTATTTATGTTCCATTTTTGTCTAGAGCCAGAAGGACAGGAAAGGATAAAGCCCACTGTAGTCTGTGGAGTCCAGGGTCCAGTGTTGAGGTCCTAAATTGTTATATATAAAAACTAGCTCACCAGCCTCTCATGTAGAGACTCATAGAATCATAGAATGGTTTGGGTTGGAAGGGACCTCAAGGATCATCGAGTTCCACCCCCCTGCCATGGGCAGGGACACCTCCCACTAGAGCAGGTTGCTCAAGGCCCCATCCAGCCTGGCCTTGAACACTTCTAGGGATGGGGCAGCCACAGCTTCTCTGGGCAACCTGTTCCAGTGCCTCACCACCCAACCTCTCATCAACCTCTTTGTCTCCAAACCATCTTAACTCCCAAGCCTGGGAGTCCTACTGCACCGGGACCTCCAAAGGCAGTGACTGAGAGGCATAAACTCCCTTTCTTCTCGTACAGGTCCCTGGCTACAGGCAGGAACGGGTGGAGAAAGGCCTGAAGCTCTTTGCCCAGCTCATCAACAACAAGGTTTTCCTCCTGTCCTTCATCCGCACGCTGGAATCCCAGCGCAGCTTCTCCATGCGGGACCGCGGAAACGTGGCCTCGTTGATCATGACGGTGCTGCAGAGCAAGCTGGAGTACGCTACTGATGTCCTCAAGCAGCTCCTGGCTGACCTCATAGACAAAAATCTGGAGAGCAAGAACCACCCCAAGCTGCTGCTCAGGAGGTAAGGATGTCTGGGGCTGGAGTGAAGTGGGCTGGGCAGCCTGTGCTCCACTGTTTAACATAAGTTTTCTAGCACCTTTGGAGAAAAGAACATAGAAAGCTGGAAAATATGAGAAAGAACTTCTTTACGGAGAGGGTGATGGAGCCCTGGAACAGGCTGCCCAGGGAGGTCATGGAGTCCCCTTCTCTGGAGATCTTCAAGACCCATCTGGATGCAGTCCTGAGTGATGTGCTCTGGGCAACCCTGCTTTGGCAGGGGAGTTGGACCAGATGATCTCTAGAGGTCCCTTCCAACTCTGACAATTCCGTGATTCTGTGAAAAGGGGCAAATTTGCATGATTTTTATTTGTACAGAAGGGTGTGAAATCAGGATGGTGTACAGCCACAGTTCACGTGATCCTGTAGGGCTGGCATGAAGCAGTTTGGAGAGGGGTGAATAAGACAAGTTGGGCTGAAGGGAGACCAAATTGCTCTCTCTTTCTGGTTTCCTGCTCATTTAAGACTTCCTGACAGAGCATTCCTTCTCTTAGAGGACTCTCCTCTTCCTCCCACCATCCTCTCTGCATTTTCTTCCCTTTCAGCAAGTGTGTGTAGATCTTGCTCCATCTCCTCTGTATCCAAGAAGTAGTCAATGATTAGAAGTTACAGAACTGAACTACCCCTAGATTTTAATGTGGATCTTCCCAAAAATTTTATAAGGGCAGCAAGAGCCCATGCCTCCTAATCCTTATTTTGAACTCTTTGTGCACTTAAGACATCCAGTTATGCTTAAAAGGAAACTTTTAACCTGAAAACTCCAATTTCATTGTGTAGGATCTATAACTATATCACGCAGAACAGGCTGTGTTATATTCTTGGTGAGTAGGTCAGCCACTACCTTCTGCTGCCTGGGACGTGGACTACCCTGCTGTGCTTTTTGCTCCTGAGTCAACTATGGACACATGGAATCTTCTTCACTTGCATTGTGGGATCTTCTTTCTGTCCCTGAGCAATGGTGCTGGGAGCTTGTTGAAGCCAGGAGCAGAGCTGAGCAGGACAACAGAACTGGTTTCCTACAGGGCGCAAGTTTGTGTTGGTGCTTCTTGGCCAGGACCAAGGTCTAACCACCAGGGTTGTGTGGGAACCCTCGAATTAGAAGCCTACTGCTCTGTAATTAATGTGCTCTCCCTGCCTAGGGAAGTGCTGCCTCTTCTCCCTTTAGGATCACATTCATCTCCTTTTCACAGCCTGAACCAATCCTTCTGATTCAAGGACCCTAAGTAAAATCAGGGAGAGCCTTCTGGAGATGAATGGCCTTTGCCACTGCTCAGAGCCAACTCTGAGGAGCCCTCAGCTGATTACGGTGGATGGCTTGGGCAGGGAAGAGACCTGTGGTGCCTGCTGGGAGGCTTTTCATCTGGCAGACAGCCCACACTATGGAGAACCAGCAAAAAAAGGGGGCAGAAGGCACTTTCAGTGCAGCAATGCCAGGGGCAGGGACTGGACTTTGCTTTGGTGTCAGTTGACTCCCTGATGTGATTCAAGCCCTACAGCCTGGCTGGTGACCTCCCTTCAGCTGTCCCCAGGCTTCCTCTCTGTGCTTCTCCTCTGATGCTGGATGGCACTGCCTCCTTCCAACTGTCTCCTCCCTTCATTTTCTCCTTTTCCTTCCCATTTCTCCATCTTTTATCTTCCATGGTTGTGCATTCCCATCTTGTCCTGAGCATCTCATCTTCTCTCTTTATCCTTCTTCCAGCTCTTTTCTAACTGGTAAGCTTTGTTGGAAATGAAATGTGGCCTTTGGAAGAAGAGGCAGTGAACAAAGAAGGCACCTCCAATGTTCCAAGCTCTGAAAACACAAGAAGTCAGAGGTGTGGTTTGTGCTCTGAGGTGGAGGTCCTGTACTGAGCAGCACCAGAACAGAGTCTGCTGATGAACATGTCAATAGTTCAGTGCCTTGGGATTCAGAAGTTGGTGTGAGGTTCCCAGACAATTATATGGAGCAGCTGGATTCAGTTTGGTGCTTCCCCCTCCTTCCTGTGACTCTGTGGATGAAAAGGGATCTTCCAGCCCACCCTCTGCAGTGTTGGTTTTGGGCCTATTTGACAAGGAGGAAGGAGCTGGCTGGAATGATTTTCCCACCTCACCTGTGTCCAGTGTTCATCCCACACGACATCTACAGCCTCAAAGAGATTCACCCTGAAGGGTCAAGATGGATTTTTGTTTGGGTGAAGACAGAGTGTTCAAGGGCAAAAGGATGAGCTCTTTAACGCACCACGTTGACATATTGAGGAGTATAATCACTCCCAAATGCCAGGGAGATAATTAGTGCCAGATAACTATTCTCTGGTGATTTAGATCTGTCTTTCTTCAGTATTTATATAGCCTATTTGTCGTATGGTCTAACTCTGATCTCCTCATATTTGATGGATTTATCGCCCCTGAACTTCTCCAAGAAGGTCCCCTCAAATGTTGTCACCTTCTTTTCAGTGATGGAGAAACTGAGAAACAGATATACGGGGTCTTCCCTAGTCACAGGAGAATCAACAATGCAGTAAGGATCTGCCTGAAGGTTTCCTAAATCCAAAGCTAAAAGAGACAACCTAGGACGTGCTTAATCCTGATGGTGTTGTGCCAGACTTTCCACGGGGCTCAGAGGTCTGGGCAGTAAGATTGATGAAGACAATCCTTTGATTCTTTGATAGGACCAGCATGACTAACTCACTTCCAATTTGTTTTTTTTTTTCCCCTGGATTTTAGGACAGAGTCTGTGGCTGAGAAAATGCTCACCAACTGGTTCACCTTCCTCCTCTACAAGTTCCTCAAGGTAAGGGGAGCAACATCCCAGGATGAACAGCTGCTTTAATACATTTCTTCTTGATGAGATTTAGTTGGGGCAAAAGCTTCCCAGGTATAAAGGAAAAGGTTGGGTTTTTTTCCTTTGGAGGGAGCTCACTGCCTAATGGGAGAGGGGCTGTTTTCTGATCCAGGGAGAACAAAGAGGGACACTTTGTTAGAGAGGAAGCCTGTTGGTCTTACAGAGGTGGGATATAAGGGTCAGTGCTGAAATATGAAGGATTTCAGAGCCTGGTGGAGACCCATATTGAAAAAGCTCTGCTTTTACTAGCAGACTCGGATCTTCATCACGTGGTGACCAGTATTTTCAGTCCAAAGTGGCTGGACTTCTCCTACCACCCCAGTTTAGTGACAGTACTGAGGCCCAGTGCCTCCATCATAGTTAATGTACATTACCCACACCTTAACCAGATCCCTGCTAAGCTTAATTTAGAGCCAAGCCCAGGCTCTTCTTGGCATAAAGCTGCTTCAAGCCTGCCCTGGGCATGGCCATGCACCCTCTGAGTAGAGATGACTGGACACAGTACACCATCAAGAACCCAGCATAGGCTAAAGCTGCTGCTTTGTGTCCTAGTGGGAGATAGCATTGGCTTTGCAGGAGACTCATCAGCAAAAGAGGGAAAAGACTTGAGATCTCCCCACACCCTGTACCCTCTCGTTCCTCCTGGGGGGTCTCTTTGGTATGGTGTGTGGTGAAAAAAAAGGCTTTCAGCCTCTGGGGCCTACCACTGACTGCTGGGTGATGGCAATTTCCTCTTGGGGACCCACACTGAGCCTCAAGCATGCTAATTGCCAAGGCACCAAAAGTCAGAGCCAGCTTTTTTGGAAGGAGCTGGGCTCCACACCTCTGTCCCACTCCTACTGCAGTCATTAAACATCCTTCCACCTTACATCCCCATTTGGACAGAATAGCCACCCTCTGCCTGGCAAGTCAAGGCTTTACAAATCAATCCCATTCCCCTGAGCCCTCCCCAGCCCAAGGATGAACGCATGGGAAAGTTTTGAAGGTCCCTGGAAGGTAATTTCAGCCACTTTGGTATCAGATTCCTGCTTTCAGCTGAAAGGAAAGGATATAAGGAGGTGACTCTCTAAAGCGCTGCTTTTATAATAGGCTTTTTTTCCCCCCACTCAGCTACTTGTCTTCTTGCCTTAGCCTGAACAGAGGCCTGATAAGGGCAAGAGACAGGCACACAGAAGCAATATGCTGCTGGCAGATAAGCTAATTAAGTGGGAGACAGGTGTAGGAACTGAGAAAGGGGCCACTTTGCTTCAGATTATTAACTTGGTTTTGCTGGGATTTACACCAGGGGAAAATGACCTCGCTCGTTGTGTTGGGAAGGCGCTGCAAGAGGAGAGGGCAAGGTGGGGAGGAGGGGAGGAAGGATGGAGAGATGAAGGGAGGCAACAGAAGAAAGGAGGAGGAGGAGGGTTACATGGCAGGGAATGCACAGAGCAGCGAGGGAGGAGAGGCTGGGAAAAGTGTGGGAAAAGGGAGAGCAGTGAGGGTGAATGATGGGAAGGAGAAATTAGGGAGGGGTGTGCTTTGCTGGCCCTACCTGTGGGCTGCTTGGTGCTGTCCTGTGCTGGGCCATAAGCATCTATCATGCCATACGCGTCTGACATCGCCCATTCAACCCTACAGATCCAAGGGCACATCTCCCCAAGGTCATGATCTGCTCCTACCTGAGCATCCCTGTTTGCCTCCGGCATGAGAGTGCTCAGGGAAACTGTGGACTTGGCCAGAAACCCAGAATGGGGAACAAATAGTCCATCTCCCTTTCAGACTTATCTCTGGGACCCATCCCACCACCTGCTCCAGTGCAAAGCTCTGGTCTGGTGGCAATCCCTTGAACACGTCCTACAAGGCTCTGCTAGCCTTAACATTGCCAGGGAGGACTGAGACCTCTTCCCTGTGATGGGACATTTGAGGGCACTGGTTGCACTTTCTGGCCACATCTGGAATACTATGTCCATTTCTGGACTCCCCGGTTCAAGAAGGACAGGGATCTGCTGGAGAGGATACAGCAGAGGACTACAAAGATGATGAGGGGGCTAGAACATCTCTCTTACAAGGAAAGGCTGAGAGATTGAGGTCTTTTTAGTCTGGAGAAGAGAAGGCTGAGGGGGGATCTGATCAATGCTTATAAATATTTAAAGGGAGGGTGTCAAGACGATGGGACCAGTCTTTTTTCAGTGGAGCCCAGTGACAGGACAAGAAGGAACAGGCACAAACTTGGGCATAGAAAGTTCCATCTAATCATGAGGAGGAACTTCTTTCATTGGATGGTGCCAGAGCACTGAAACAGGCTGCCCAGAGCGGTGGTGGAGTCTGCATCTCCGCAGGCATTCAAAACCTGCCTGGACATGTTCCTGTGCCACCTGCTCTGGGTGGCCCTGCTCTGGCAAGGGGGTTGGACTAGATGATCTCCAGAGGTCCCTTCCAACCCCATATCATTCTGTGATTCTGTGAGATGTCAAGCCATGGAAGTCATTGAGATGCTGTGTAGGTTGTGTTCTCACCTCTGCTCCTCCTGTTTCACCTGATGGTTGTCTCTCACCCCTGCAGGAGTGTGCTGGCGAACCTCTCTTCTCCCTTTTCTGTGCCATCAAGCAGCAGATGGAAAAGGGACCCATTGACTCCATCACTGGGGAGGCCCGGTACTCACTGAGTGAGGACAAGCTTATCCGACAGCAGATCGATTACAAGACACTGGTGAGTGCTCTGAACACACATTTCTATGGGCTCGTCCAGCCTCTTCTAGCAAAAGGGGGTTTAGAGAAAAGAAGCCAGTGATGGGCTCTGGGATCTCTGGGACAATTTATTCTTGCAAACCTTCAGGGGAACCCTGCTGAAGACTGACTTGTCGCATCCCCCAATGCAGCAAGGTTTATGGCTGAAGCAGCTCCTTGCAAAGATGTCTGCTTCTAAGCCACTTCCATGCCCTGCCCCATGCCCAGAGCATCTCCAGCTCCCCAAAGGCATTACCCGTTCTCTGAAAGCATCTGCACTCATGGCAGTGTAGACTGATGGTGCCAGTCTTTTACCATCACATAGGTTTAGGTGAGGTCCAGGGGTATTGGAAGACAAGCATGAACCTTGTGTCATGCATATGCCTGTGAATGTGAGGATGATAGATATGGGCAATTTGCTTTGTTCCATTAGACAAAATACAACATATTTTCTCCTATCTACCCCTTTTCTCTGGAGTGATGCCCACCCTTCCAAATCAGAGGGATGTTGGAAGTCAAAGATAACAGTCTTCCTACAGCAGAAAGGTGGGGTTATCACTGCAAGTTCTCACCACCCTGAGGTCTTTACTGGGAGGAGTGTGATCTCCATGGTGGGGTTTTTTCTTCCTCACTCTTGGGACCCCCCAAGGGTCTCTTCATTCCCCCTCTCTTCACCACCTGCTCCCTTCTTCCTGGTCCCCAACACCAGTGGCAGAGCTACCCAGCGCCCAGACCAGGCACACAAAGGGTTGGTGTTTTCTGGGAAGTGCTTGGAGCCCTTGGCCATGTGGGGTGTCCCCAGCACTGAGCTCAGGCAGATCAGGCACAAGCCCTTGGCAACGGGAGACTTGTGATCAAAGGGACACCCAGCTCAGAGCACGGCAAGCCCAGAGATATCCTGAGACCCTGTGGTGTTGGGTCATTGCAAAGCCATGGCCTTCTGCAAGTGACAGCAAAAATAGTTTTAATGAGGCTGTATTGCAAAGATCTTCTCTAGAATAATCCTCACCATAAAAAAAAAAAAAAAAAAAAGCCTGTTTCTGCAATGAACATTTCAGCATTAAAGAATATGTTAGGGGTACACAGTGGAGAGACCTATTAGTTCTTCTCCAGAGCTAATGCAGCCATTCCTCTTGAGCAAGCACAAGTCAAAGAAAAATGAACTTGATTTAAAGATTTCAAGGGAAATAAAATTAATCCCTGTCACCGAGTCATTTGCTTCAAAATGTAATTGTCTGCTTGGTGAAAGATATACATTGCATATGTCCAGCTTTAGCTTCTACTCTGAGATTACGCTCTTTTCTCACTTGATTAAAGAGCATTGGATATCTCTTCCTAGTGTGTTTCATAGAATGGTTAGAGTTGGAAGGGACCCTGAAGATCATCGAGTTCCAACTCCCCTGCCATGTGCAGGGACACCTCCCACTAGACCGGGTTGTTTGTGGGCCTTCATTTTTTCCTGGATGCACTAAATCCACTGAGTTTCTAAGTCTCTGTGGGATGAAGAATACTTTCCAGGTCTTCAATGATCCTTATAATTTCTTTATTTCCCATGTTTTTGTTCTCAGAAAACACCAACCCTAAATTTTAGGATGGTCGGAAGATGCTCTGAACTTTTCAGATTGTTTTATTTGCACCTTCAATTGAGGGACATTGATCTGTAACTGTAGCTGGCTTTGAGAACTGTGTCCAGTCGATGTTAGTTCCTTGACCTGCCTTAGGTCTTAGCTCAGGTGGACTGATGCTAGAAATGCCTGCTTTTTATCAGTAACTACAGACAGTTTAGAGCTGAGCTTTGATTGAATCCAAGTCTGACGAGGGGGTAGACTTTATTCTTAAATAAGACCACAATTTTATTTTGCATATTAAAAACGTGACTTTCCTATGAAGTTGGCAGCATAGTGCTTCTTTTCTATTACGTGTGGTTGTCTGGCAATTTGGAGGCCTGATCTTGCATGGAAAGATTGAGCAAGAGGAAGAAAAATGCAGGCAGAGCGATCACTTTCACCAAAGGAAATCCCTCCGATCCTTTTAGGCTTGATATAAAGCAGCCAGCAAAGGGTAGTAATTATACATCAGCCTGAACAAAGCTCTCCTCCATTCCCTTTGTGTTGTTTGATGTTAATCAGCTCTCCCTCTTACATCTCAAGAGCAGACAAATATATCCCGATAGGAATCTCAGCAGATTTACAGAGATCAGCTTCGGTGAAGGAGATTAAGAAGAAGCAGAATATGAATAGGATTGGTCTTTCTTTCCGTTTCTCTTCATTTCTGTTTTATTTTCTCTTTCCTCTACCTTCCTTAAGCCAGTCTGTCATCTTTTATTAAAAATATACAGTAATGAAACAAAGCAAGAAGTGATTCGGTATTTGTAATATGGGAATTCCCTCAATGTCTTCTGCTCTCTACCAGAAGCACCTGGTCACCACTCTGAGTTTGCAGCACGTGTGGCTAAAATTCATTGGGTTGTTCACGTTTCATGAGTGCTGGATGACTGCTTGACTGAGTTAAATCACAATTCCAGCAGCGTGGCACATTGAAACAGGCTGTTTGCTGCCGTTATTGCAGGAATACAAGGCCGGGGCTTCTTTTGGAAGGCCTTGATTCTTTTAGCCTTCATTAATCATGGTCAAATATTTTGAGTCATGGTTTTGAATATGGTTTGAGTGAAAAGCAGATCCAACAAAATTGACTTATCCAGCGAGAAAAAAGAAGACAGAGCACTTTCAGACATCTGGAATTACTGATTTTACAATACACACCTCATTCACTAAATTTAGATTGGTTTGGTCTGATTTCTTTCCGAAACAGATAGCTCTGATTTGCTCTCTGTCCTACAGTTCTCCAAGGAATCGGCCTCAATGCCCTAGGGCTTTTGCAGTCTGTAACAATTTCTGTAGTTACAAGGGGTTTTTTTTCAGTACGGTAGAAACTAAGCTAGTTACAGATGTGATTTGCTAGAATAAATGTGTTGCAGCTACACAGTAGGTCTTCTCCCAAGCTCTATACCTCCGAGAAACACCCTCTTGTGTTAATGCCTTCTCTAGCAGTCAGAGCTCATCATCTCTGGTCTGCAGGGTTATTAAAAACCCAGCTAGATTATTCCATCCATGAGAGACAGGAAGATCTCATACCTGCTGACTGCCATCTGCCTTTTCCAGAATCCATGATTTTTTTAGCCATTCTCCACACCAGAGTCCAGATGCAAAACCTCGCTCCCTACTGCCACGGCTCTGCTGTCACTGGGAGATGAAAGACCATCCATCTCCTGTGTCAGCCTCGTTTCAGTCGATACAAATAATGCAGGGGAGCAAAGACCTCAATGCGTGTCGGAAGCTGTCAAGAGTATTGGCTAATTAGTGCTTGTGGGTGGTAGGTGGGAGCTGCCCAGTACATCTTGAGCAGTGGCATGCTCTGCGTGGTCCCTGCACACCTCGGTGGCTTCGGTGCTGAGAGCCTAATTGGATCATCTCTCCTGACAACATATTCCAGACAGATAAAGATGCTTTGAGCTGCCTTTGGTTAAGGCTTTTTCAGGGAATTTTGGTGGTAAGAAGGAAGCCATCAGCAAGAAGGGTTTAAGACCAGGCTGGATGGGGCTTTCATCAGCAAGAAGGGTTTAAGACCAGCCTGGATGAGGCTTTGAAGTGTTCAAGACCAGAGTGGCTGGAGCTTTGAGCAACCTGGTCTGGTGGGAGGTGTCCCCCTTCCCATGGCAGGGGGGTTGGAACTGGATGATCTTGTAAGATCCCTTCCAACTCTAACCATTCTATGATTCTAAGATATAAAGGCTCTCCCATGCTTAGTCTCTGGGGTTCTTTCTCCTCCTTGCTCACTGCCAAGTCTCACTACATGGTAGCCACCTCGGACCTTCCTTAGCCCAATCTGGAAGGGAGAGAAAGATGTCTGTCCTCAGGATAGAAACCATAACAGTGTCCTGGTCTCAGGGCAGAACTCTCAAGACTCTGCAGAGGACTCAGAGCCAGGGTCCCCACATTAGTAATCACAAACTGTGCCTTTATTATTTAAATGGCAGTAGTCCATAGTGGAGATCAGGGCTTAGCTGTGCTAAGCGTGGCATGTGTATATACACTTAAAGACAGCTCATAGCTGGAGGGGGTGGCAGACACAAAAAAAAACAACCCAGGGATGTAGAAAAAGGTCAATGAACACCAATCCAGTGACATGCCATGCCCCAAGGTCACACACAGTCACAGTGGGAGAGCAGGGCTCAGAGATTACTACTTCGCTGACTGCCAGTCCCATACTTATCCATGTTGTTGGGTGATGGAGCAGTAACACTGAGTGCCTTGAGGAGATTAGCATCCCAAAGCTTCCCTGAGAGTGACTGATCATAAAGGAATACAACACAGGTCTTCTCAAAGGTCTCTTCCCCACCAGTTGACATCAGAGGTTGTGTTGACGTAGGTGGGCAGCACTGCTGGAGCAATGGGATAAGTCCTCTGTCTTACATTGGTTGTTGTGAGGACAAGCCTTTCAGTGAGACTGGAGCACCTGAACTCTACCTAATGGATGAAGCCAATACTTAGTGGTTTCCTGCTGGTCACCTCCTACCAGGGACAATCTACAGAAAGCTGAGGAAAGAATGGAGGAAACACTTGGGAAGATTCCCAACTGTTCCCAAGTGAGAAAGCTCCGGGGAGACCTTATAGCGGCCTTTCAATACCTGAAGGGGGCCTATAGAAGAGCTGGGGAGGGACTCTTTGCCAGGAAGGGTAATGATAGGACAAGGGGAAACGGTTTTAAATTGGAAGAAAAAAGATTCAGATTAGATCTCAGGAAGAAATTTTTTACTGTGAGGGGGGTGAGACACTGGAACAGGTTGCCCAGAGAAGCTGTGGCTGCCCCATCCCTGGAGGGGTTCAAGGCCAGGCTGGATGGGGCCTTGAGCAACCTGGTCTGGTGGGAGGTGTCCCTGCCCAGGTCAGGGGGGTTGGAACTCGATGATCTTTGAGGTCCTTTCCAACCCAAACCATTCTATGATTCTATGATTTCCATGGAAGTGGTGGTAATCTCTCGCTCCATTGCAAACACCTCGTTATGATCAGGAGCTTCAGTGTGTTGGAAGGGGAGCAGAGATTTTTCAATCCGTGGTGTAAAAATGACTTCTATAGGGCCCATGACAACCTCCAAAGAACAACCTTTTAGTTTGTGCGATACACAGGTGCACCCTGCAAAATTCCTGAGGCCTTTGTAGCGGGAAAATTTTAGTGCTCCATAAGAGAACAGCTGGAAAACGCTGAGAATGGATGTGAAGCCTGGGGCGTATAAGTCAAAGCCCCTGTGCTCTTGGTTTCTATAAACAATTACTGAATTTCCTAAAACGTTGAGAGAAGCCTCTTGACTGTCATTGAAATGAATACACTGGTGTCCAGGAGTTGGCAGCTACTACCAGCTGCCCCCCTCTGTATTTGAGACCAAGAAGAGCAAACCTCTTTCCACACAGCCCTTTGAGATGTTGCCTTCCCTGAGCTGGAAAAGAGGAAAGAAAAGACGACTGTAGTTAGGGCATGAATGATCATGGCTCACCCAGGCAGAGTTTTTCTGCCACCTTCCAAAGTTAGCACACTGTGAAATTCAAGGTCAAACAAGTTGTGAAAGCAAATCACCATTGTCAGCTTCCAGCATTGCATGGTAGGTACTGATGTGGTGGGCACTGGTCAGCACCTGCAGGAGGTATTGGCCCTTCTGGACCAACAGCTAGATGCCTGGTAGGGTAGTCCAGATTATTTTAAATAGCACTAAGTGCCTCCATGTTGGGAGGCATCACAGCTGAATCACTCCATAGAGCTTGCTCTGACCAGCATCACCTCAGCCCACCTCTGTCTCATCACTGAGAGAGACCTGCAGAGTAACTTGGTCTCCAGAACCCCCATAACACTCTCAAAAGAGCTGTCCCAGCCTGCCATCCCTGCTTCATTTCCCTACAGATGTGTAATGGGAGGGGGGGCAACTAATAACCTCAACACTGGATGCATTTCAACGGGGCTTTTTATGTGCAGTTCTGTGATCCTTTGAGATGAAAGATGCCACAGAACTGTAAATCTGTGCCGTTGTTATTATTATCTGAATTGATGCTTCTTCAATACTCCTGGAAGTGACATATAAATAATAGCATTATGATCTAATCAATATCTCGTATTTACATCTCCCCTTTCATCCAGAAAGATCACAGAGCTCTTTGTAAGCAATATCTTCACAAGTCCCTCTTAGTTGAGCATAACAGCACCAAAGGGAGCCTGGTGAGCCAATACATAATTATACCGATATGATTTCACCCAGTTTCAAGCCACTTTGAGATCCCACTGCATCTTAGTTGGTTGAGATGGAAAGTGATGGAGAGTTCAGTACCTATTGTGTGCTACAGAAGGGAATTTATAGTCAAGGTAGAATTTGTCTAAGGCACCAAAACTAACATGTCTGCACTTGTAAAAGTGGCACAGAAACATTTAATGACCGTATGTAGCCAGGAGCGTTACTGGACACTCCTCCCAAGTGCAAAGGTGTGCTAAGTTTATAAAAGTTTATAGACTTCACACTTCTGTAGCCAGGAGAAAGCAGAATTCTCAACAATGAAGTGGCCAAGAGTTAGTGGGCAGATTGCAGTTAAACACTCTGTGTGTGTGTGTTTAAGGCATCCCCCCCTCCCTCATCACCCCATATGCTTTGCATTTGCTTTTGGAGAGAGTCTTTGGAGAAAATTATTTTCTCCTTCTGAGAAATGAGAGGCCTCTCTAGTCAGGTCAATTATCTTGTTCCATATGTGAAAGCAAAACATTTTGTTGTTTTATGTTTCTTTTTTCTAAGAAGTTCTGCATTTCAAATTAACAACATTGTTCTGAGAAGGGTCTTGGTCAGTTCCTGTGGATGGACAAACTTAAGTCTGAGAGACTGGAGAGTGCTTTTACCTGAATTGTCCAAGTCAGGTGGCAAAGCATGGAAGCCACTACTGAATTAGGTCACGTTGCCAGCTCTCTAGGGAGCAGGGAATGGATCTGAGGCAAGGAAAGCTCTGGAGAACCCTTTGGATATCAGTTCAGGTCCAACCAGGGTTAGGCCTAATTGCATTTTTAATGGTTTCTATGAAAAGAGTGTGTCAATGACCATTCTCTGGTACCATTCGGTGAACACCATTTTTACTGAAAGCATCAAAACCATCAGAATGGGCTTTCTGTTATTCATATAGCAAAGATACCATGGACATGAGGCTCAAATACAGGGGGCTGTTCCCATGGGCTATAGTAGTTTCCCCTCACAGAGGCAAGTGGTGTGAGACACAGGTTCAGAAAAACCTTCACATCAGCCCCAAGTCACTGGTTGCTACATCTGGGAGCCCACAGGACCTAGCTGAGAGCCAAATCCTGAGTTACCTTTAATTCACTGGGCATGGAGAGTGGTTGAGGGGGTTGAGAGCAGCACAGGCATGGATGGATGCGTGAAACCAGATCTCAGTGCCCTCTCAAAGAAGGGAGTGCTCTTGGTACATATTTTCCACCTTACGGCACCCTAGATCCCACTGGTGTGTAGGACACGGGGACCTGCAAGAAGGTGGCTGGATGAGGGTGGCCATCTGTGCTGCTGGGAAATGCAGAGTGGGTCTCACCTGCGTCTCTCTCAGGTCCTGAGCTGCGTGAACCCCGACAACGTGAACAGCCCCGAGATCCCGGTGAAGATCCTGAACTGTGACACCATCACGCAGGTGAAGGAGAAGATCCTGGATGCCATCTTCAAGAACGTGCCCTGCTCCCACCGGCCCAAAGCTGCTGATATGGACCTGGGTACGTTGAGCGCGCGATGGGCCCTGGTTGCCCCCCAGGTAGGGGGGAGAGGGGAGATGGGACACAGCCATATTCAACTGTGACACTGTTTGTTGGGGCAAATTTCAGGTTCTCCAGACTGGGTGTACCCTTGTTCTTGTGCAAGGCAGAGAGAAGCAGCAGCAATGGCGAGAGGGCAGAACACAGGGGTTAAATTGATAAGTATGCTCCTGGTGTATGAAATCTTTGGCCTGGAGGACTTAAAAAGACCAGTAGCCACCCTGCTTTCCTGCCCACCAAATTCAGCTTGGACAAGGGTATGGAAAAGGCATGACTATTCTCCCTGTTCTGCCAAAGACCCCTGGAAAAAAGAGTACCAGATGCCCAGGGTGATGTTGTCAGCAGTGTTCAGGCTGCAGAGATTTATTCCTAGCTCTTCTCTGAACAGTGAGGGTTTGGATAATATATATATATAAAAATATATCTTCTTGCTGAGATAGTCACAGCCCAAGCAGTATTAATTACTCATTGTGCAGGCACAGGAGAGGGGAATGAAATGTCCTCTGCTCGGTGGACTGCATCCATCTCACCCCTGGCTGCCTCCCTCTCCTGCCAGCACCCCACCACCAGGGCTGGGAGCTGCTGTTCTGAGGCTTCCTTTCTGCAGAGGACTTGGAAGTCTTAAGGAAAGATCAGTCCTTCTGTTAATGTATTCATGGGGGTTTTTCTCTGGGTGGTTTGCTCCTTCTCTCATTGCTGCTTGGAAGGTGGAAAGAGCTGCACCAGCTTCACTCACATTTCTAGGCGGTCATGCCTTTGATCCATGGGGCACACAAGGAGCTGTACAGCCCAGTGTAGGGGTTCCTCTGAGCCCAAAATCTGTTTCTGCCCATAAATCTGGAGCAAGGATGCTGGCAGGAGTAGAAGTTGGGGTCTAGAGCCAGATGTGATATTACACCTGGAGGCTACTGTGAAATGACAGAAAAAAATCTGCTGGGGGCATTGCCGAGGTGTCTGGCAGGGAGCTGGGGGCTGTATCGTGGCTGTATCTGCCAGAATTTGCCCTCAGTGACCTTCAGCGAAAGAGGCTTGAGTGGAAAATGATGGAGTCTATAAAACCCAGCAAAGTAGAAGAGGAACCAAAAAGGGAGAAGGGATGGACTGACGCCAAAAAGCAATTCGCGGCAATAAGGGAGGCAGGAATGAGAGGTCAGGGATTAAAGTTAAGTGTCTATATGTGTGTGGGTATGTGTAAGGGGAGGAGGGGATTCCTGACAGAACTTGCAGCAAGATTCCTGCTCGTGAAAGGCTGTTAGAATAACGAAACGAGCTGCCAAAACCAGCAGCAATAAAGGACAGAGCATATACATCACCCAGAAAGGACCCCAGGCGGTTTTGGAGCTGCTGTGAGTCAGCAGGGGAAGGGAGAGGGCCAGGGTGAGCAGGAGGACAGGCAGGGCAGGGTGCCAGGGCACAGGAGACCAGAGGAGTGGGGTTGACAGCCACATCTCTTGGCCTGTCTGGTGCTGGATGGTGGCCCCAGAGCCCACTACCTTTGGGTTTCCGACTGGGTGTGAGTGGAAAGTAGTTTGTTCTGCGGTGGGGATGAACGATGCATCCGTACTGGGAGGCAGAGATTTTACCTGCATGTTGCAAATACCAGAGGTAAATTGGATTCCACGGATTTTACTGTAGCTCTGACAACTGGCAGATACAGGAGAGTGTGTGTGTGTGCAGGGTCCCAGCTGGAGCCTGACAATTTTGCATCCAGGACTTTTGCTTTTTAAGAAATACTGACCTGCTGAGTAATGCCGAGGACCAGCAAGTTCCAGAAAGTCTTTCTGAGCGTGTGCATCCCTCAGTGGAGAGCCTTGTCCATACTGACAGGAGACTGCTTAATGAGCAGCTGTTTGGCCAATAGCATTGGGGAGGAAAAAAAAAAACCCAGAAAAACCCACAAAAACCCCCTCATCTAGTAGAAGAGTCTTGCCAGCAGCAATGTAGTTGCAGGCTTCTTCAGCGCAGCAGCTAACAAGGTGGGAGGAGCAGGGCTGGCCCTGGTGAAGTAGGAACAAGAGGATGAGCACGTCCAGCCACAGCTCCAGCCCAGCCTTTTTGCAGGAAAAAAGGTGTTTGTTGGCACCTGGCATCCTTCAGTGACAGGGGAGGCAGCAAGGAGAGAGCAGAAAGCGCTGCTAGTCATTAGAAAGCAACACAGGGCTCTCAGGATCAACCTGCCCCAGGCTGAATGCTCAGAAGTCCAAAGGCAGCTGGACCGACCCCACCAGTCCACGCTAAACAGTAGGTCAGAGCAGATGACTGTAATCTGGCCTCAAAATCGATGGTTTTCTAAACAGCAACACCGTTTTCTATGACCATTACAAAATTGTCTGGGCTTTCTGTCCATGCTAAGGCCAGATTGCTCACACGGAAGAAAGCAAACAAGCTAATGAGTTATTTTGAGTTGTTAAATGCAGGGTAGCTGCAGGCAGAGTGACTTGTATGTGTCGCAAATGTCATAATGTTTTGCAGTTACCCAGACAACTCATGGAGGGGGTTGTCAGCTGAAAGCACTTATTTTGGACACCCTGAGGTTACGTTTTAGTCCAAAACCCAAATTGCAGCCCTCTGAGTAAAGCCTTCTTTCTGCAGTGGCTATTTTTGTTGTTATTATTATTTTTTTGAAGCCCTCGCCATAAATAAAATGCCCCATCTTTGGGAAAGCGTTAGGGTGTGAGGATCACAAAACGGGAATTTGGCTTCACACTGAGGCATTCTCTCTTCCCTGTGTTGTGGTTGAGTTTTGAAGCTGACTTGCTGAGGTGATGGGAGCTGCTGACTGCCTTGGACCCAGTGATGTTGTCCCAGGCTCATCATGGGCCACATCAGGGCAAGCTTTCACTGCCTCTCGCATGGTGCAGTTCTGGGGTGAGAGGTTCAGCCTTTAGGAGTCATTTAAACTGGGTCTAACTCTAGTATATATACAATAAGGCAGACAACTTGCATATACAGGATGAAAGGGCTGGAGCATCTCTGCTATAAGGACAGGCTGAAAGAGTTGGGGTTGTTCAGCCTGGAAAAGAGAAGGCTCCAGGGAGACCTTATAGTAGCCTTCCAGTACCTAGAAGTCCTACAGGAGAGATGGGGAGAGACTCTTGATCAGGGAGTGGAGCCACAGGATGACAGGGAATAGTTTTAAACTGAAAGAGGGGAAATTAAGATTGGGGAATAGTTTTAAAGAGGGGAAATTAAGATTAGACATGAGGAAGAAACTCTTTCCTGTGAGGGTGGTCAGACACTGGAACAGGTCCCCCAGAGAAGCTGGGGGGGTTCAAGTACCCCCCATCCCTGGAGGGGTTCAAGACCAGGTTGGATGGGGCCTTGAGCAACCTGCTCTAGTGGGAAGTGTCCCTGCCCATGACGGGGAGGTTGGAACTGGATGATCATTAAGTTCCCTTCTAATCCAAACTGGTCTGTGATTCTATGATTCTAAATATTTCCCAGGCATCTTCCATCTACACTTTCTGATACGAACTTTTTTTTTTCCCCAACCACAATGGTCCTTTCTCCAACCCAGAAGCAGAGTGGAGTTTCTCCTCTTCCTAGAGGTCATCACATATTAGACATTTATCCAGTTTTGTTTCCTACCCTGTTCTGTGATTCTATGATTCTTAATATTTCCCAGGCATCTTCCATTTACACTTTCTGATATGAACTTTTTTTTTTCCCCAACCATAATGGTCCTTTCTCCAACCCAGAAGCAGAGTGGAGTTTCTCCTCTTCCTAGAGGTCATCACATATTAGACATTTATCCAGTTTTGTTTCCTACCCACCTGGTCATACTGGTGCTTGCAGCATACAGACAAAGGGTTTATTCTCCCATTTCCTGTGCCAATCTCTCTCTCTCACTTGGAAATTATTGGGAAGTGAGAAAAATACTCATATGACTAAAAGCAACCTCCCAGCTCTTCAGACTAATCCTTCATGAGCACAAGAGGTCATGGAATAGGCGTTGAGCTTGGAAAAGCCATACGTATCTGTTCCACATGCCATTGAATCATAGAATCATAGAATCATTCAGGTTGGAAGAGACCCTTGGGATCATCGAGTCCAACCATCTACCCTACTCTACAAAGTCCTCCCCTACACCATATCCCTCAGTACCCCATCTAAACGTCCCTTAAACACATCCAGGGATGGTGACTCCACCCCCTCCCTGGGCAGCCTGTTCCAATGCCCGACCACTCTTTCTGTGAAAAATTCCTTCCTAATGTTCAATCTAACCCTACCCTGTTGGAGCTTGAAGCCGTTCCCTCTTGTTCTGTCATTAATTACCTGTGAGAAGAGACCAGCCCCAACCTCTCTACAGTGTCCTTTCAAGTAGTTGTAGAGAGTGATGAGGTCTCCCCATTGCTGTGCATGGTCATTCACAGTTTCCCAGAACTTCAGGGGACACTTAAGGTCTTTAGGAAAAGAGTGGGAAGCTCAGTACGTGGCATGAACAGTTGACTGAAATGGATTGTGTGCGTTGTGACCTACAAGTGCCTGCAAAGGATAGGGTAGTTGATAGTGACTAGCTCAGATGAAGGCACCTGGAGTGAGCTGGCAGGTCTTCCATCCACCTGGGCATTTCAATTGCCCCCCAAAAATGTTCTCTGTGCTTCACTTTTCTCCCTTCCTTCAATGGGCATCTTCAGGGTCACCTGGATGAGAGAGATAGCACCAGGGATTCCATCCACCTGGGCATTTCAGTTGCCCCTCAAAAATGTTCTCTGTGCTTCACTTTTCTCCCTTCCTTCAATGGGCATCTTCAGGGTCACCTGGATGAGAGAGATAGCACCAGGGAGGTGTAGCATTTTCTGTAGAATCTGAGGTGCAGGAAGTCATCTCCCATCTCCCCATAGAGCAATCCCCTAGGCAGGCATTGCTACAGCTCAAAGAAACACCTCTTTGTCAAAGGCCACTGGAATTTCCTTTTTTCCCAGTCAGGTTGAACAGAAAGGTTGTTTCTTAAAAAAAAAAAAAAATGGAGAAAAAAAAAAGGAAAAAAAAAAGAGAAGTAATTCCTGCGTGCAATAAAAAGATACACTATCTGCTGAATGAAATATAAAGGCTTCACAGCAGCTGTCTCCTGAGTTTGCATTTACCGCTGCTCCTGATTGGAAGGCTTGATAAAGATAATGGGATTTTTTACCTCCCTCCCCCTCTTCGCTCCCTCTCTCCGGAAGGTGGAAGTGTAACAAATTGGATTGGAGTATGTCTCTCCTTTGTGCTGGCTCGCGGAGGAGCGTCGCGGATCTGATGGGAGAGGGGACAGGGTGCTGCCAGCGAGGACAAAGCTAACGGTTTTTTTCACTTAGTGCTGTGAATATGGATGTCAGGGTCACCTTTTCCTCCTCTGCGCTCTCCCTTCCCCTTCCCTTGCTCACAGCCACCACTTTTCCTTGTAGATAAGTGTGTGACCACCTCAGCTGGCACTGCTGGAGAAAGGGAGCGTGCCTTGAGACTAGGAAGAGTTGGGGGATCACAACTGGGGGTCCTTTCACTGTCATCAGTCAGATGCGTGATGAAGTGATTTGTTTTTTCTTCAGGGCATGCTCTAGTGCCCAAGATTATTGGTTTGTCGTGGGCTGCTGAGTGGGTGGGGGATGGGTTTTTGGTTTGGTTGTTGTTGCGTGTTTAGGTGGTGGGCGCTGTGGTGCGGTTTTTGTTGTTTGGTTTTTTGGTTGGTTGGTTTTTTTGTGGTTGGACTCGATGATCTCTGAGGTCCCTTCCAACCACCACAATTCTGTGATTCTGTGATTCTGTATGCAGTCAGGGCAAACTGACTGAAAACACTGAAGCCAGATGCTCTGAACCTGCCCTGCAGGGTGTTTTCTCCCTTGCCTTGCTCAGAAGTGGGTTTTATGCAGAGTCAAACTGGCCCTTCCTCTTCCTTCCGTGGCCCCTTTCTGCATGGAAAGGCTTGGTGGTCCCCTGTGTCTGTGAAGGAGGACGAAGGGCTCGAGGGGACACTCCATGATGTCCTCAGTTTCCCTGGAGCAGAAGGAAAGTTTCTGCTGGTCTGAGGACCTTGTCCAGCTCTTGAATCACAGAATCATATAATGTTTTGGGTTAGGAGGGACCTTAAAGATCATCCAGTTCCAACACCTCCCACCACACCAGGTTGCTCCAAGCCCCATCCAGCCTGGCCTTGAACCCCTCCAGGGATGGGGCAGCCACAGCTTCTCTGGGCAACCTGTTCTAGTGTCTCACCACCCTCACAGGAAAGAATTTCTTCCTAATGTCTGATCTAAATTTCCCCTCTTTCAGTTAAAAACCATTCCCCCCTCATTCTATTGCTCCACTCCCTGATAAAGAGTCCCTCCCCATCTCCATTTATTTGAATACAAATAAAGCACAGAATGAGGAAAGCTGTGCCTATCCTTCATATCAGAGCCAAGTGCAACACTGAGAACCTGTGCATCCCCCCCAAAACACTACATGAGTGTGTATCCCTCCCCAAAGATGTGTCAGGAGAGCAGAGGACCATAGAGATATGCAGAGCCTTGAAGGAAAGAGGTCAAAGAGATATGGTCCCCAAAAGACCATAAGGAAGATACATAAGAGACACACTCTGTGGCAGTAGAAGTGGCTTTGGCACTCTGTGAGGCACTTTGTAAGGGCACCATTGTGCCCAGCCCAAAGTTCAACATTTTGTGCTCTTCCAAGCAATTTCTGGGACCAGTTAGCTCCAGTTGGGAATGCACAGAGAGCATCACCCTTGGCCTTCAGGAGGATAGTGTAGGTGAGGATCTAAGAAGCTGGAGTAAACGAAGGGCAGTTCAGGATTGGTGCTTATCCAATATAACCTTTGCTTACTTTCTGAGTATCTCCAGCAATAAACACAGCAGCTGACCTCTTCCTGCTAATTTAAATGAATAATAAAGGCAAGGGCGGCTTTCCCAATACATTTTAATTATGTGATAAGAAAACTGCTGAAACCAAAAGAAATTTGCAACGGTCCTTGCATTTTTATATTAGGAGAAATAAGCAGGGGTGGCAGGTGGTGTCTCCGTATCCAAGAGTTCATTTTAATTAGCTCCCTCAAATGAATAGACTTTCTGCCGTGGCTCTGGCTAAACTGTGTGTGAGTGAGACATGACAACCAAAAAGAAAGCTATGGATGATTCTATGATTCTATGATTTAGATTGGATGGTCCAAGTTGTCTGTGGTTGACCCAGAGCTTTCCCTGGTGTCCCCAGGTGATATTAAATTTTGGTCCTCTTCATGTATTCCTTGCCTATAGACAAGTCTGTGAGTCCTCTGTAGGGAATCATAGAATCACAGAACAGTTTGGGTTGGAAGGGGCCTTAAAGATCATCCAGTTCCAACCCCCCTGCCCTGGGCAGGGACACCTCCTATAGCCCAGGTTGCTCAAAGCCTCATCCATCCTGGCCTTGAACCCCTCCAGGGATGGGGCATCCACAGCTTCTTTGGGCAACCTGTTCCAGTGTCTCACCACCCTCACAGGAAAGAATTTATTCCTAATATCTCATCTAAATCTCCCCTCTTTCAGTTTAAAACTGTTATCCCTCATCCTATTGCTCCACTCCCTGATCTAGAGTCTCTCCCCATTTCTCCTATAGGCCCTCTTTAGGTACTGAAAAGGGCTCTAAGTTCTCCCTGGAGCCTTCTCTTCTCCAGGCTGAGCAACCCCAACTTCATAGGAGAGGGCCTCCAGCCCTCTGACCATCTTTGTGCCCCTCCTTTGGACCTGTTCCAACAGGTCTATGACCTTCCTGTGCTGAGGACTCCAGAGCTGGACACAGAAATGCAGGTGGGGTCTCACCAGAGCAGAGTAGAGGGGTAGAATCACCTCCCTTGACCTGCCAGCCACACTTCTGTTGATGCTGTGGCATGCTGCTGAAGGCTGGTAGAGATTTTGCGCTCCATGGAGCAGGGTCTTGGTTCTGTCTCTGGAGTTTCTCCCTGTTGTGCCTCCACTGTGCCAAACCGAAGGGCTTCCTCCTCTTGGTCACTTCTGGAGTTGAGTGTCAAGAAGTGTTGCATGAGCCACAATAGAGACAAAGTGAACCTAGTACAGGATCTGGTGAACAAGAAACTGCTCTGCCCAGGGGAGCTGTGTTTGTGGCTTCATATGAGCAGTTAGACATATCTCAGGTGTTGCTAAAGGCTGTGTCCATGCTGTTTCTGAGGGCCAGGGACTAACTGATATCCCTGACACGGGTGACATTCGTGTACTGCTGTCCCATGGTGATGGCTAACATACACAAGGACAGGTTGGCCTTGGAAACAGCCCCACTGGAGAAAGAACAGAGCCAGGGAGTCAGCCAAGAGTTAAGCTCTGAGTAATCAGAGGGTTAAAGCACCCGTTCATCTCCACCAATGGATCAATGGGTCCCTGGTCATTGCTTTATCCGTGTGGAGCTCACCGTTGTGTGCTACTGTGTCCTAGACATGGACCTCTCATCCATGTAAGCACCCACTCTGCGTTCTGATCTCTGTTTTAAAGGGGTGGGTGTTTCTTGTGCAAAAGCATTTTTTTTTGTGATAGCACTACCATTTTATCAAGGGTGAAGCAACCAGTCTGGATAACCTAGGACTTGACTGTGAACTTTGCCATATGGCTACGATTTTTGCATACTTTCCTGAACCATCTCCCTGAACCTTTCATTATCCATCCGTCCTCTCTTTCCCTCTCTCGTGGGCTCTGGATATTTGTGGGTCCATTTGATGTACGTGCTTGGAGGCATCTGACAGGGCATAATGGCAACGACTATGGCAACACGGATGTAGCCTACACACGTGTGACCACGTGGGTTACGGGCAGAGGGATTACCAGGGCTCTGTCCCCTGTCCCAGATGCTCTGCAGACCAGGGTTCAGTGTCCCTCTTCTCCTTGCAGAGTGGCGGCAAGCAAGCGGGGCGAGGATGATCCTTCAGGATGAAGACATCACCACCAAGATAGAGAACGACTGGAAGAGGCTCAACACGCTGGCACACTATCAGGTAACCCTGTGAGAGGATGGGGAGTTAGAAGGTAGACCTGTCAAGAAAGTGAAAAGGAGAAAGGCAAAGTGTTCTTCTCTAAGAGGCGGAGGTAAACAATGGTCGAGTGGGCAATAAGTGCCCACTGTGTTAAGTACATCCATCCTGTTGACATCCATCTCTGCATGACCTTGAGATCCATAAGAGAGGGCTGAAGATGTCCAAAAATATCTTACACAAGCGCTAGATTTAATGAAAAACGGTCCTTTGGTCAAAAGCTCCCACACTCCTTTCCCTCCTTGCCAAAAAAAAAAAAGAAAAAAAAAGCAAGCACCTCATTAAGTTTAATCCAATTCTGACGATTTTGTCATTTCCTCAATCACACCTTAGCAATCTATGTTTCATAACAAGATTTTTTTTTTCATTTAAGAGCTGACCTGAGGAGGCAGCAAGCAATAATTTGAAAAGGAAACAAAACTTTTCACTTCAGATTGACTGAAGCATCGCTGGCTGACTCCAGAGCACTTTTTTTTTCAGAGGGAGCCGGGGATATTTTGTATTTTATTTCACAAACAAACCAGGTGTAATTTTCTTTCCTTTCTGTGCATTTTCCAGTTGTTTGCTTCAGGCAATGAGCTCCCAGCTACACAGATGAGCTGGGGCAGAATAGGTCTCAGCTGCCAGAGCGTTGAGCTCTACATCATTTACCCTGGCTGTCCTGAGGGCAGACACAGAGCACGCTGATATTTCTGTTACCTCAGTTTCCCCATCTGTAGTGTGGGGCTAAAACTACAAAGAGCCAATAATTGCCTTCCATGATTGCTGAGGGGCTATTTAATTAGCCTCTGCAGCGCTTTGAAGATGAAAAACTCTATGCAAGTGCTAATTATTATTATTACACAGACAAGAGTTAGACGTTGTTAGCAAGGTTTTTTTTCTTTTTTTTTTCACCCATCTCCTTTTTATGATGTCTTATTTATCACAGATATTCCTGATGTGGCTCCTCTGAGCCATCGGCTTGTTAACATTTCTGATACAGGACCCACATGAATGGCGTAGTTCTAGAAATGGAAGGTCTGGCTCATTTCAGATAGCCCTGTTGTCTGTAGAAACACTATCCCATGACCTCGTGGAGCACAGCCACTCCAACCTGCTTTCCCCTGTTTGAGACCCTCTGACACAGCAAAGAGAAAGAAGTTGTGGTAGTTCCTTCAGTCCAGCGATGTGTTCATCATGTGGGAGAGGGAGACTGTGGATGGAGAAGTTGACAGGATCAGTCAAAGTGGACAATATAGATATCCATTTCTGAGCTAGGTACCTAGAGATCAGCTGCAATCGAGGTGTAAGGAATAGAAAATTTCACATCCTTTTTTATCACCCTTGTGGGACATGCCATTCTTGATGTTTGAAATAGCTCAGATGGTTTTATTCTTCTCACACTCCTGTCCTACACGAGAGCTTCCTTGTGAATAACGTACTATCAGCTTTACTGAGGTCAACTCGTATTGTTGTAACTGGGCTTTGAATCAGGATCTGAATGGAGCAGAGTCTGCTTTGTCATCAGTTGTCCTGTGGCCCAGAAGCAGACTTCTAAAAGTATAACAGGAGGTTTTTCCCCTTTTTTGTTAATAGACCCACTGACGAAATCATTTAAAGCTTGTCCTGCCTACAGTGACAATGGTTTCAGGCTCAGTTTCTGCTGCTTGAATTACTGCTGCCCTTGGTGTGGTCCTCAGCCAGTTTTCAGAAGCTTATTGACAAAGTCCCTTTTCCTCTACAGGTGCCAGATGGATCTGTGGTAGCTTTAGTCTCCAAGCAAGTCACTGCCTACAACGCAGTCAACAACTCCACTGTCTCCCGGACCTCAGCCAGCAAGTATGGTAAGGACCTGTGTGCTGATATGATTTGAGAGAACACTGGAGAAGAGATCCCACAATGTCATGGTGGTCACAAGACACTGAGCACCAGCAGAAAGCATGATAGGCAGATGAATAGTTGATATGATGATTGCTTAAGAAATGGCAGGAGGAGAGGATTGAGCCATCTAAAACTTTGGGATCTTGTCCAAGTGGTTGGATTGCTCTTGGGAAGTACTTCTCCTCCCTCTTTAATGAAAGGAGCAGCCTATATAATCAGCTGCCTACATTTTAGATTGCTAAATCTCACTCCTAGCGTTGGCACAAGGAGAGTCAAGGGAGAAGCACTGCACGCTGGATGAGCACAGTCATTCTGGTAGGTGAAGTCCTTGGAGCATGGTGTGTGGTGAAGAGAGGGCTGTGGCATAGTTGGGAGGCCTCTGGGACTCCAAGCAACTGCAATCCACGTAGGGCATAGCCTGTCTACAATTATATTTCAGTGTGGGTGTTGTGTGTCCCATCCAGCTATCTTATTATCCCAAGGGAATTTGCACCTGGAGTAATAATAAAAATGGTTTACTGAGGTCTCATATCAGTATAGCTCGAGGAAATGGATTTTTGTTCCCACTTTACCCATGAGACGACTGAGAATGGGACAGCTGTGAAATAGAGACCAGGTGGAAATTCTTCTGTAGAGCCAGACAGAGACCTTCTGAGTCTCACTCACACCATCACACACCTTTCTCCCCTGCACTGGAATTGCAGCCCAGGACATGTCTATGGTGATGCCGGAGGGCAAAGCAAAACATCTCTGATGTGTGTGCAACCAGAGTGCTGCAAAACCACCCTCCAACCTGGGTGCAGCTGTCAGATCAGTTTATTTTTATTTTTTAATTTATGAAAGCATCTCCAATCCTTCTTCCTCCCTTTAGCTTGAGGGAAAATACGGTTACTCGATGTCCAGAGGAGCCCCCTTCCTCTTTCTCCAAGGACATGAGCAATCCACCAGGCCTTATTAGTATTCATCCTCTTTGCCATGTTGTTGCAATTACTGAAAGACACAGTGACCTTTGAAAAGGAAGACTTGAGGGGGGTTAATTTCTGTTGGATTTCTTTAATTCTTTTGCCATTTGATTTTTTTCAGGAGGAGGGGGTGGGGAAGGATGCAGGGGGAGGAGGAGATGTGGTGGGTCAGAAGTGATTGTTAATTGCAATTAAGAAAACAGCATCGAGAGAGAAAAAGGATATTCCATCTGATAATTAATATGTAGAGATTGGTAATGCATTAATGAGGCTGATTCAGATCTTGCTATGGAAAGGTGCAACGCTCTTCTGTTAATTATGGTTGGAAAAGACTCTGTCTGCAGCATTGCTGGAAGGTCAGGGAGAGGGGAATGCCTCGTGCCATCATCACTCAGAAGCAAAGGGAGGTGAAATTTGGAGGCTAAAAGTGTCTTTGGAGGGGAAATTTGTGCAGGCCCCCCTGGGGCTCTGGTTTACTTTCTGTCAAAGCAGGATTTTGGAGCAGTAAGTGAAGAGGTTGACTGGATAGGAGTGCCCCTGTACTCAGCACTGGTGAGGCCACACCTTGAGTATTGTGTCCAGTTTTGGGCACCTCAATACAAGAGAGATATCGAGGTGCTGGAGCGAGTGCAGAGGAGGGCAACGAAGCTGGTGAAGGGCCTGGAGAATAAATCTTTATGAAGAGCGATTGAAGGAGCTGGGAGTGTTTAGTATGAGGAAGAGGAGGCTGAGGGGAGACCTCATACCTCTCTACAACTACTTGAAAGGACACTGTAGAGAGGTTGGTGCTGGTCTCTTCTCACAGGTAATTAATGACAGAACGAGGGAACGGCTTCAAGCTCCAACAGGGTAGGTTTAGACTGGACATTAGGAAACAATTCTTCACCGAAAGAGTGGTCGGGCATTGGAACAGGCTGCCCAGGGAGGTGGTGGAGTCACCGTCCCTGGCTGTGTTTAAGGGACGTTTAGATGGGGTACTGAGGGATATGGTGTAGGGGAGGACTTTGTAGAGTAGGGTAGATGGTTGGACTCGATGATCCCAAGGGTCTCTTCCAACCTAGACGATTCTATGATTCTATGATTCAAAGTGGGGAGAGGAGACTTGGCTCCTCTGAAGTCTGGGGACGGCGAGCAAGGCAAAAGGCCACATCACCTGCATCAGTGTTACTGTGCGGAAAGGCCATGGCCTGTTCTCTGACTATAATGCCAAGCACTATGGCGTGGTATGGCTAACATCCATACAGTAAAACAGGTTGCACTTGTCCATACTGGTTATCTTGAGTAGCTGGTATTATCCCCTGAACCAGTCCTGGGCTCAAACCACAACGTTGTCCCAAGCCAAAGCTTTGCCAGGGAACATGATAAGATAAAGGCGACTGGAAGCCAGTGCTTGAGCCTGGTTTGATTTTATAGTGGAGACACTGACATCACGTCTGGCTTGGCTGACATCCCTTGTCTTTGCTGGGCAAATCACTCAGTCATAAGGTAATGCTTTGACAATAAGGCCTGGTCCATGCAGCTGCTCTGGGGGCTTCTCCATCTCACATGGTAATTCCACCAGGAGTTATACCTGTGTTGCCTCATGCTACAAATGAAAAATCAGCCCCACACCAGAATCTGTATGAGCATCCTCTCTGTAGGTTGAATGGGGGAGGTACCTGCTACCAAACCCAGACAGAAGAGGTCTTCTTGCCTCTCTGATGAAAAATTTCTATTAGGTGGCATGTCATTGTCCTGGAGATATTCAAGGTGAGGCTCGATGAGGCCCTGGGCAACCTGGTCTAGTTGGGGGTGTCCCTGCTGTCTGTCCCCTGGGGGGGTCAGACTAGATGACCTTTGGAGGTCCCTTCTGGCCTGGACAATTCTATGATTCTACGATTAGCATATTTCCTTGGTGAAACGTGTTAACCCCACTACAAGTTCTTCCAGGGCTGAGACACATCCATCTGTTTTTGCAGAAAACATGATCCGTTACACAGGGAGCCCGGACAGCCTCCGTTCCCGCACACCCATGATCACCCCTGACCTTGAGAGTGGAGTCAAGATGTGGCACTTGGTGAAGAACCATGAGCATGGTGACCAAAAAGAAGGCGACCGGGGCAGCAAGATGGTTTCTGAGATCTACCTGACAAGGCTACTTGCCACCAAGGTACATGGTGGGGGCAGGGAAGAGGGTGAGAAATGTTTTTTTTAAAGGCTGCAGTGGAACTTCTTACCTATAAGAAATGAGAGACTGGTCAAAAAATGCCAAAGGGAGAAGGAAAACAGAGTAGGAGTGCTCCAAAAATGGAGGGAAGGAGCTTGAATTTAGAAAGCAGAGTCAGAAAAGGGACATTGGTGAGCCATGAGGAGTAAAGAATCCAGGGCCATGAGACTGGTGGAGAAAGTCAGCACAGGGGTAGGTGCGTGTATGCATTATCGATTATACTGGCTTGTAGCTTGTACCAAAATTGAGCAAATGAAGACCCAGGGAGTATATGTGCCCAGATCAGGTTCCAAGGATGTGTGGGCTCCTATGTCACAGAACCCTGAGTATTGTGCTACAAGTCCTTCTTCTCTGCCTTTACCCTGGGGCCCATAAAGGGTCCTGATGACTAAGCAAGGGGTTGAGTTAACTGTGATGTGGCTAATAGGTGGCCAGCTCCAAGGAAAGCAAGCAGAATAAGATGCCCATCTCCATTGAGACGTGGAAAGCTCAGGGTCTCCAAAGAGAAAATACAGATTGAGTCAGGTGGGGGCAGAGCACGGGCATCCTGAACCTGAATCTCCAGACATATCTCACACGTCACAGCTGGCCCATGGCAAATGTCTTCAGGGAGGTCAAAGACTTTGTGGGGACATTGGGAAGACTTCATCTGCTCAACCCATGTTCCCCAAAATGCTGGAAACCAGCCTCCTATGTGGTTACCTGCCAGAGCCTGCAAAACTCCTGTAGTGGAGCAGGACATGAGTGTTTAGAGTAATTGGGGATGCAGCACCATGAGGAGGACGCTCGTAAAAGTGGAGATCACTCGAGCTGACAAGTCAAAAAGTTCCTACAGTGAACTTTGGCTCTGGGGCAGCCACGGAAAGTGGCTTAACTGCCAAAAAGAAGTCACTGTCATTCACCATCACGCCATCCCTTCCCTGCAAAGGGGATGGCCAGTTCTTCCTGCAGCTTGATCGTTCTGGGGTTGACAAAAGCTCTGAGACCTTCTTTCATCTCTAACTGAGCCTATCATCCACCTAACTCACTTGTAAAGGCTCCACGAGAGCGTGGGGAAAAGGGTTTCTAGTGAGAAGAATGGTCTTTCCCGGGTCTGTGGAGAAAGAGGAGGGTTTTTATTTTTCAGAAGAGGAAATTTCGCATGTCGGGAGATGTTTGCTGGAGGTTTGATTGCTTTTTTGGTTATTTTAGCCGCCGTATGGTTTGTTCACATATAAATGCCTATGAAGCTCTGGTGGCAAAGCAGAGATTCAGACATGAGCTAGAGCCCCCCATTCAGCATGACTTGCCCCCAAACCAGTCCTGCAGCTCATCTGGTTATCACAGCTCCTCAACTGCCCCCTTCTCCAGGCCTGGTCACCCTCTGATATTCCAGCTCTTCACCTTCTTGCTAAAGGTCAATTGTCCTCACCAGCTTGTCCAGGGTGGTTCTCCAAGCACAGCATCTGGGATTCTCTTCCCAGAGGAGCATAAAGAGACCTCTGCAGTCTCTGCAGTGAACATTAGTGAGGTCTGCATTGTTTCTACTGTTTGCCTCAGTCCCACGCCAATGGGTAGTAAAAATTGAGGAGGCCTCTTGGAGATTAAGATGAAGTTGGTGTTATTTATTATGCTACTCACACATATAAAACAGCCATCTCTCTGCAGGCACTCTTGTCCCATTTGTCTCAATGACACCTTCTGCTTTGCTCTACAGCCATCTGACTTCTACTCCCAGCTTAAGAATTGGCCCTGGATGAAAGCCAGCATAGAAAATGGCTGGGTTTTGTCTCATACGTGCACTAAAGCAGTTGAGGAGAGGACTCAGAAGAGAGAAATTTCAGTGGGAATGTATCCAGGCCTCTCCATCACCATATACCTGAGGTGGGGCAAAGTAGCCCACCACATCTCAGCCACTCTCCCTTTCAGGGAGTGCTTGTAGCAGAGGGGTCAGGTAGCTTCTTGACCTACTCCATCCGTCTGGTAACCAGATGTAGTAGATGTTGGGAAGATGCATGTGCCAGCTTAAGGCCATCCATGTTGAAATTTCCAATTTATGTCACATTTAACAGATATTAGGTGGCTTCCACTTCAATCCCACTCTCTGGGCCTGATTCACAGACATACTCTGTTTTCTGTACCAAAATTCAATATCCTCTTCCCACTTGGTATCTCAAGTTCCTCTCTCCTTCCTTCTCCCAACAGGGCACCCTCCAGAAATTTGTGGATGACCTCTTTGAGACCATCTTCAGCACTGCTCACCGTGGCAGTGCACTTCCCCTGGCTATCAAATACATGTTTGACTTTTTGGATGAGCAGGCTGACAAGCACAACATCCATGACCCCCACGTGAGACACACCTGGAAGAGCAATTGGTGAGTGAGACACCCCAGGACAGTCCAGCACCAGGTCCTGGACTGGAAGGAGAGGAACATATTTATCTTTATAACTTTATTATCTTTATCACGGAGTGGAGCGATGGGACGAGGGGGAATGGTTTTAAACTGAAAGAGGGAGATTTTGATTAGATCTCAGGAAGAAAACCTTTACTGTGAGGGTGGTGAGGCACTGGCCCAGGTTGCCCAGAGGAGCTATTGATGCCCCATCCCTGGAGGTGTTCAAGATCGGACTGAATGAGGCTTTGAGCAACCTGGTCTGGTGGGAGGTGTCCCTGCCCATGGCAGGGGGTTGGAACTGGATGATCTTTAAGGTGCCTTCCAACTCGAACCATTCTACGATACTATGATTGTGTGTGGTCTCAAGGATGGAGCACTTTGGCTAAACAGGTCCTGGATTGCCCTGTATTACAGGGGATGGCAGTATTTCTGAGGGTCCTCGTGAGGATACAGAAGGAAAAATGAAGTATTTAACTGTTGTGATGGTCAGGCCCATAAGACTGTCTAGAGAGGCACTGGAGAGGATGCAGTGCTGCTGTCTTCATCTAGACTGTCTTCATCTTCATCACCCATCTTCATGGGTGTTTGACTGTAGTCAGAGGGGGCCTACATTTCCATTTGTTTGCCTACACATAGGCATTTAATGCCATCTGAGATATTTTAAGGTATCCCAGACATCGACAGGGGATGTGCAGCGCTCACAGGAGACTTGTACCCTCCTGGGCTGGCAGCTGGAGGCCAAGCATATTTCCTTGGTGAAACGTGTTAACCCCACTACAAGTTCTTCCAGGGCTGAGACACATCCATCTGTTTTTGCAGAAAACATGATCCGTTACACAGGGAGCCCGGACAGCCTCCGTTCCCGCACACCCATGATCACCCCTGACCTTGAGAGTGGAGTCAAGATGTGGCACTTGGTGAAGAACCATGAGCATGGTGACCAAAAAGAAGGCGACCGGGGCAGCAAGATGGTTTCTGAGATCTACCTGACAAGGCTACTTGCCACCAAGGTACATGGTGGGGGCAGGGAAGAGGGTGAGAAATGTTTTTTTTAAAGGCTGCAGTGGAACTTCTTACCTATAAGAAATGAGAGACTGGTCAAAAAATGCCAAAGGGAGAAGGAAAACAGAGTAGGAGTGCTCCAAAAATGGAGGGAAGGAGCTTGAATTTAGAAAGCAGAGTCAGAAAAGGGACATTGGTGAGCCATGAGGAGTAAAGAATCCAGGGCCATGAGACTGGTGGAGAAAGTCAGCACAGGGGTAGGTGCGTGTATGCATTATCGATTATACTGGCTTGTAGCTTGTACCAAAATTGAGCAAATGAAGACCCAGGGAGTATATGTGCCCAGATCAGGTTCCAAGGATGTGTGGGCTCCTATGTCACAGAACCCTGAGTATTGTGCTACAAGTCCTTCTTCTCTGCCTTTACCCTGGGGCCCATAAAGGGTCCTGATGACTAAGCAAGGGGTTGAGTTAACTGTGATGTGGCTAATAGGTGGCCAGCTCCAAGGAAAGCAAGCAGAATAAGATGCCCATCTCCATTGAGACGTGGAAAGCTCAGGGTCTCCAAAGAGAAAATACAGATTGAGTCAGGTGGGGGCAGAGCACGGGCATCCTGAACCTGAATCTCCAGACATATCTCACACGTCACAGCTGGCCCATGGCAAATGTCTTCAGGGAGGTCAAAGACTTTGTGGGGACATTGGGAAGACTTCATCTGCTCAACCCATGTTCCCCAAAATGCTGGAAACCAGCCTCCTATGTGGTTACCTGCCAGAGCCTGCAAAACTCCTGTAGTGGAGCAGGACATGAGTGTTTAGAGTAATTGGGGATGCAGCACCATGAGGAGGACGCTCGTAAAAGTGGAGATCACTCGAGCTGACAAGTCAAAAAGTTCCTACAGTGAACTTTGGCTCTGGGGCAGCCACGGAAAGTGGCTTAACTGCCAAAAAGAAGTCACTGTCATTCACCATCACGCCATCCCTTCCCTGCAAAGGGGATGGCCAGTTCTTCCTGCAGCTTGATCGTTCTGGGGTTGACAAAAGCTCTGAGACCTTCTTTCATCTCTAACTGAGCCTATCATCCACCTAACTCACTTGTAAAGGCTCCACGAGAGCGTGGGGAAAAGCTCAGTTGTCTGAGTTTACATTTATTTGCTCTTCCAGCCTGTGGATGGTGGTCTCCTTGGAGAAGCCTGCACTGATAAAGATGCTGCAGTGATCTTCTTTGTCATGCCAGCATGTGGGGAGGAAGGCAGAATTGTCAGAGAAAGGCTCCCTTTGCAGTTCTGCTGTCCTCTTGCATCACGGAACATCTCTGTGCCCAAATCTCTCTAACATGAGGGTTATCTCAGTGCATCCCAGGAGAGGAAACTGTGGGGCAGCTGTGGCTCAGGTGTGGTTGAGCATGGTGTTATCTCACCCTGTTCTGAGTGATCAAACAGCCCAATTTTCCTCCCTTCTCTGAAGTTTTGATTATTATAGTTTCTTGTCAGGGTGTTAATAGGCACAAACACAATTTCCTGTGGCCATGCAAATGCTGTCTGAGTTTTCCCATCAGACGTGTCTCCATCACATGCTAAAGTCCTTCCTACCATACAGTTTCACCTGCACATTTTGTTCCTTCATTCATTTTTGCCTCTGGTGCCTGACTCTCCCCGCATCCTCGCTCAGGCCCTCTGCGGTGCAGTGGGATTTGGAGACAAAGTGGCTTTGTCTTTAGCCCCTGGTACATGCCCAGCTCCCTGGCATCAAGATACTTTTACGGATCACACGAGGTAAAAAAAGAAAACGATGCTCCCCAGGGTGCAGGCCCCAGCTGGTGTAAACCAGCGAGCACTGGACCAGTGCTGATTTACACTGTCTGGGGATATGTCCCCTACCCCACCACTGAATGGCTTTTGCTTTATGTTCCGGATCACAAACTCAAACACTTGCTTTTCTGTTGTTTTTTTTTTCTTTTGTGGAGATGGCAGGAAAGCAGCTGCGAAACTCGCACAGCAACAGAGAGAGTAGAAAGGCTGGGAGTTTATTGTTTCCCCTCTTGGGCTGAGCAATTTTCTTTCCTCATCATGACCATTTGATGGAGGGAAAGAGGAGAGAGAGCAATTGCTGGTAATACAATCCCAGGGAATACTTAGTTAAATTGACAATGATTTTTATTCTGGTAAATCCCTGACCTCCGAGACCTAGAGTCTCTTGCCTAAAAGCCTCAGAGGTTTTCTTTGTGTTTGTGTGGGTGAGCATGTAGAGAATTAATTCCCTCCAGAAACTGAACCTGAGGGCAGCTCTTTCCATGTCAGACCAACAAGATTTCCCCTCGGGGGCCCTTTCTGAGTCAGACATGTGCTGCAGGCCTGTATTCGCCCGGCAGGAGTTCACACAACCAAAAGGTACCTCTGCTTGTTTCCCCAAGAATAAATCAAGCGGTGAATCGGCAAGAGACACCAGCTTTTCTAATTAAGTATTTGTTAGCGCTGCGTAAACTTGAGCCACTCTGGTGGAACCTGGTGCTTCATTTCTAGTGAGGAGAACGTCTTTCCCAGGTCTGTGGAGAAAGGGGAGGGTTTTTATTTTTCAGAAGAGGAAATTTCGCATGTTGGGAGATGTTTGCTGGAGATTTGGTTGCTTTTTTGGTTATTTTAGCCACCGTATGGTTTGTTCACATATAAATGCCTATGAAGCTCTGGTGGCAAAGCAGAGATTCAGACATGAGCTAGAGCCCCCCATTCAGCAAGGAAAGGATGCCTAGACTGTTTTGCCCCCAAACCAGTCCTGCAGCTCATCTGGTTATTACAGCTCCTCAACTACCCCCTTCTCCAAGCCTGGTCACCCTCTGATATTCCAGCTCTTCACCTTCTTACTAAAGGTCAATTGTCCTCACCGGTTTGTCCAGGGTGGTTCTCCAATCACAGGATTTGGGATTCTCTTCCCAGAGGAGCATAAAGAGACCTCTGCAGTCTCTGCAGTGAACATTAATGAGGTCTGCGTTGTTTCTACTGTTTGCCTCAGTCCCACGCCAATGGGTAGTAAAAATTGAGGAGGCCTCTTGGAGATTAAGATGAAGTTGGTGTTATTTATTATGCTACTCACACATATAAAACAGCCATCTCTCTGCAGGCACTCTTGTCCCATTTGTCTCAATGACACCTTCTGCTTTGCTCTACAGCCATCTGACTTCTACTCCCAGCTTAAGAATTGGCCCTGGATGAAAGCCAGCACAGAAAATGGCTGGGTTTTGTCTCATACGTGCACTAAAGCAGTTGAGGAGAGGACTCAGAAGAGAGAAATTTCAGTGGGAATGTATCCAGACCTCTCCATCACCATATACCTGAGGTGGGGCAAAGTAGCCCACCACATCTCAGCCACTCTCCATGGCAGGGAGTGCTTGTAGCAGAAGGGACAGGTAGCTTCTTGACCTACTCCATCCTGGTAACCAGATGTAGTAGATGTTGGGAAGATGCATGTGCCAGCTTAAAGCCATCCATATTGAAATTTCCAATTTACGTCACATTTAACAGATATTAGATGGCTTCCACTTCAATCCCACTCTCTGGGCCTGACTCACAGACATACTCTGTTTTCTGTACCAAAATTCAATATCCTCTTCTCACTTGGTATCTCACGTTCCTCTCTCCTTCCTTCTCCCAACAGGGCACCCTCCAGAAATTTGTGGATGACCTCTTTGAGACCATCTTCAGCACTGCTCACCGTGGCAGTGCACTTCCCCTGGCTATCAAATACATGTTCGACTTTCTGGATGAGCAGGCTGACAAGCACAACATCCATGACCCCCACGTGCGACACACCTGGAAGAGCAATTGGTGAGTGAGACACCCCAGGACAGTCCAGCACCAGGTCCCGGACTGGAAGGAGAAGAACATGTTTATCTTTATAAATTTATTATCTTTATCACGGAGTGGAGCGATAGGATGAGGGGGAATGGTTTTAAACTGAAAAAGAGAGATTTTGATTTGATGTCAGGAAGAAAACCTTTACTGTGAGGGTGGTGAGGCACTGGCCCAGGTTGCCCAGAGGAGCTATTGATGCCCCATCCCTGGAAGTGTTCAAGACCGGACTGGATGGGGCTTTGAGCAACCTGGTCTGGTGGGAGGTGTTGACCATGGCAGGGGGGTTGGAACTGGATGATCTTTAAGGTGCCTTCCAACTCGAACCATTCTATGATACTATGATTGTGTGTGGTCTCAAGGATGGAGCACTTTGGCTAAACAGGTCCTGGTTTGCCCTGTATTACAGGGGGTGGCAGTATTTCTGAGGGTCCTCGTGAGGATACAGAAGGAAAAATGAAGTATTTAACTGTTGTGATGGTCAGGCCCATAAGACTGTCTAGAGAGGCACTGGAGAGGATGCAGTGCTGCTGTCTTCATCTAGACTGTCTTCATCTTCATCACCCATCTTCATGGGTGTTTGACTGTAGTCAGAGGGGGCCTACATTTCCATTTGTTTGCCTACACATAGGCATTTAATGCCATCTGAGATATTTTAAGGTATCCCAGACATCGACAGGGGATGTGCAGCGCTCACAGGAGACTTGTACCCTCCTGGGCTGGCAGCTGGAGGCCAGGAGAGCATCTCAGATGATACTGAAATGGTACTTAAAGGGTCTGGAGCTGGATGTGAGTCTCCTTTGGAGCGAGTGACAAAGTCTGACATCAACCCCCTGCTCTAGCTGCCAGGCAGCAGCCCCTCTTCTTACATGTAATGGGACAGCAGGGAAAAGCCGGGGTCGGTGGAAAGAGAAGATCTCTGCAGCTCCTCTCTGTGGAGTCTCCCTGTTGGAAAGAGTCCCCTGGGGAATCGCTCCCTCCCCTTCTCCTGTGCAAATACAGGGACTATAAAAGGAACAGCAGAGGAGAGCCATGGGGCTCCCAGCTCATGCATTTTTTCCTTTTACCAGCCATGCTGATGGCAGATCGTCACAGCGCCGTGACATAAAAAAAGAAACCCCATGCACCAAAGAGGCTTTCAACTAATGAAACATTAGCATATTATTAACATTATCTGCGGCGCTAATCTAAGGCTGATTGCAGCCACTCAGACTAAATGAGCAGGAGGTTTATTTAAGGGGGGAGGGGGGAAGGCAGAGTGTGTGTGTATGTGGGAAAAGGGGCAGTATGAAGAAATCTGTTCAATCAGATTAAATTAACTCAAAGTCACATCACGGGCTTCATTATTCCCAGCTAGGGACATGGTCCCCCCAGCCCCTCCCCGCACATACGTGCACTCTCTGCTCGTCCTCTCTGTGGCTGTGTTTTCCATCCAAACACCCGCAGAAGAAGTTCTGCACCCTTCACTCATCCATCTCATCCCCCAACAGATGAACCTCCACCCCCAGCCCAAAACGTTTCCCTCCCACAACTCCATCAGGTCTCATTGCCAGCTTCTCCTGAACTTGGCTGGTAGGATTACCTGTAAGGGGGGCTTTGCTTATATTTGCTCTGTGATTTTGCTGGCTCAGGAGAACACAGAGTGGTTTAGGAAAACCTGGTGTCATCCCTCTGTCAGAATACACTCAACTGCCTGCTGTTACCTGAAATGTATTGGACTTGAAGCTGAATTTTTTTATGGTGCTGTGAACATATGGGGGTAACGAGCAAATGGAAGGAACTGAGGAATTGGAGAGTTTAGCCTGAATTTGTCAGACTGAAGAATAACCTTCTCCTGGGAAGGTGTGGACACAGAAGGTTGGCTTAACAGTCTACCTGACAGAGAGACACGAGTTTGAGTCTGTGATCAGTGACACATCTCAGCTCCTAGGCCACATATGAACACACAAATGCATTTGCCCTGACAAAAAGGCTTGAGGCAAAGGCTGGAGGTAGATACCTCAGGGCATCTCATACAAATGAACTGCTCTTTTGAGAAAAAGGGGGAAAAAAGGGCTTTGGATTGCAATTGGAATAACATTTCCTGAGTTAGGGCAGATGCATTTTCATTTCAAAGGTTACAGCGCTTGTTCCTCAGTCCCTTTTTTTTCCTTGAGGCAACAAGGTTTTCCCTGTCATGTAAGGACTGCTTCGTGCCCAGTGTGCTGGGGCTTTGAGCAACCTGATTGAGTGGGACATGTCTCTGCTCATGGCAGGGGGGTTGGAACTCGATGATCTTTAAGGTCCCTTCCAACCCAAACCATCCTATGATTCTATGATGATACACGGTCTTGGTCTTGAGCTGTGGAGTGTGACAGTACACGGTGTCCAGAGCACACAGTGTGTGCCATTAACACTCCTAAATCTCAGCCTGGGAACTCTACCTACCTCTCTTCCCATGGGGTTGCTATGAGGGCTGAAAGCCAAGCCCCTCAATGACAAATGTTCACTGGAAGTTTTCACTGAATTTCACTGAATTTTAGAGTTGGAAGGGACCATAGAGATCATCTAGTCCAACTCCCCTGCCAAAGCAGGAAGGTTTTTTGCAGGTTCCATGCCTATCCTCATCTGATGAAGCGGCCAAGAGATGCAACTTTACATTGTACCCTAACGTAGAAAGATAGGAGTCATTTTCACCCCCTCAATTATACTCTCATTAATTTATGTGCAACTTCAATAAGATGGCATTGACTTTAAGAGTGACAAAATCTGGCTTGTAAGGATAACAGGGACAAAAGCTGCTCCTGAGGTGACTCCACTGATGTCCCTAGAGTCCTGTAGGGGAGGATTTTGTTGTATTTCAAAGCTTGTCCCAGAGTCCTTATGCCCACACCATGATGTTTGATTCCCATCCACAGTTTCTCATTGTAACCCCACACCACAAAGCCTGTAAGCTGTGCACTGACTGACTCACCTCTTTCACCCTTCCCACCCCTCTTGCAGCCTCCCGTTACGGTTCTGGGTTAACATGATCAAGAACCCACAGTTCGTCTTTGACATCCACAAGAACAGCATCACAGATGCCTGCCTCTCTGTGGTGGCTCAGACTTTCATGGACTCCTGTTCCACCTCGGAGCACCGTCTGGGCAAAGACTCACCCTCCAACAAACTTCTCTACGCCAAGGACATCCCCAGCTACAAGAACTGGGTGGAAAGGTGAGTTTTAATTCTGAAAATGGCATAAGCGAATGATACAGTGAGGCCCTGCTTCATGGGTGGAGGTAGGAGGGATCATCAGTATTGCTTAGGTATCCTTTTTTCTTTGGTTATTGCCTAAGTAGAAAGCTGTGTGTTAGCCTTTTGTTCCCACCTGCTTTGCAGAGGAGATGGAAATTTAATTAGAGGTGTGAACTGAAGGTGTTTGCCATCATTGTCTCTCTCAAGGAAAAACTGCTGAGAGGCGATAGAGGGAGGAAGGAAGGGGAGGTGATATGTTTGAGCCCTGTGAAGTACGTGGGGCTTCTAAGCCTTTCCACGCAGACCAGAAGTTGTCTGCTGCTGTCAGCATCGTTGTGACAGTCCCCACGCCACCTCGATCCCAAGGGTGATACAACTGTCTCCCCTTATTCCAAGTCCAGTAGCTTTCCTTGGAGGCTCTTTGGTGCTTTGAACGAGATGCTGTAAGATTGACAGGCTGGTGACTGAAGCTCTGCAGGTATTTTCTGAAAGGTCAGTGGTTCTTTCCAAGCGTTTTATCCACATCTGCAAGACTACTGCACAGAAGGTCGGAGTCTGGCAAAGCTGCTCCACAGGGAATACGACCAAGACAACTATTCCTGCAGTACGTAGGGGCATCAATTTCTCTAAGATTTTCCACAGGACAAGAAAACAGCACATCTTGCAACTCCATCCAGCCTGTCTGCTGGAGCAAGCCTTGCAGAAGTTGATCTCTGCTTTGTTTTCCAGCCTGCTACGCTTGCCTGGCATTATTGACAGGTTTGGGAACTGCACAGATGGAGAATGATTACTACTCTGTAGATACAAAGATGGGTTTATCTTACAGATCATTCCTGTGCAAAGCCATCCAGTTTTAAGCAGTGATTTGTCTGGATGACTTCATAGGCACTGTCTAAAATTGATACCGTGTCATGCTGGTTCTATGAGACCTCTGCTAGCGTAGGCACACCGGGCTGTAAACCACTGTATTTCCTTTGTTGGGGATGGTTTTCTCTCATTTTGTGAAAGGAGAACACGGCTGATCAAAAAGCTCTGTCCCCTAGTCAGCATGAGGTGACATTCTTTTACAATAATACTCCTATCGGTCTCTGATTTGTCTGGACAATTATTTTTAGATGTGGTTAAACACTTCTGCAAATGTCGTTTCTAGGCAACCTGTAAGGCTCTTGTGAGCTACCTTGCTTAATTATGACCTACTTCTGGTACTGTGTCCAAGTTTCTTAGTATGTATTGAGGTTGATTGCTGGATTGACCTGGATAGGGGGAAAGAGGTGTTTGAGATTCATTTAGAAATCAAACTTGCACCAACAGTGACCCGAAGGTGTCATACTCTAGTGATGCTTTAGCAACCTTGCGTTTACTGAGTGGTTGTTTTCTGTGGATAAATGCTTTGCTTTACAAGTCACCCTGGTTGATTTTTTATCTTTGGAGATGGTGCATTTAAGTGACAGACTGAGGTACGTAGGGGGAGAACAGGATATTTCCTCATAGGGTTAGGGTTGTTCAGCCTGGAGAAGAGAAGGCTCCAGGGAGACCTTATAGCAGCCTTCCAGTCCCTAAAGGGGCTACAGGAAAAATAAGGGAGGGACTCTTGATCAGGGAGGGGAGAGATAGGACAAGAGGGAAGGGTTTTAAACTGAAAGAGGGGAGATTTAGATTAGACATGAGGAATAAATTCTTTCCTGTGAGGGTGGTGGAACAGGTTGCCCAGAGAAGCTGTGGATGCCCCGACTTTTTGGAGACGTTCAAAACCAGGCTGGATGGGGCTTTGAGCAACCTGGTCTGGTGGGAGGTGTCCCTGCCCAGGGCAGGGGGCTGGAACTCGATGATCTTTAAGGTCCTTTCCAACCTGAACCATTTTATGGTTCTATGAATCACCTATTTTTTTCTACATAAACAAAAGGCTGCAGTGTCCCTTTTTGGTTTTTTTGTTTTTGTTTTTTTCTTCCCCCCAGTATTGATTACACTTTGCAACTTTTTAGAGCTAAATCCTGTTGCCCAGAGATCTTCAGCAAGAGGTGCTGCGTTTCCCTGGAAGTTTTCCTGAACAACTGGGTTTGCAAACGAGGTACATAACACCTCCTGCTGCTGGTAAACAGCACTGGATTTCTGCGCCCAGCATGCGCTGGGTTGTTATCTGCACTGATGTCTGACAACTTGAACTGATGCCCGAGGGGAGGCTGCAGGTTTTGGAATATGGTTAGAGCTTCTGCCCCTGCTTATATTTTTGTGTGTCAGTTCCACTGACTCAAGGCAGTGGCACCTGGATGCTGTGGTAGATCAAAGGAAAACACATCAAGGATGAATAGAATATAATTTCAATTCTACTCTTAGTTAATGAATTCCTTTTCTCTATTCTGCAACTGTACTTAGAGGGAGTTATTCCAGCTCCAATGGCTTCCAGTACTGGTTGGAGCTATTTCTGTAGTCAGCATCAGCTGGAGAGAGCATCCTTCAAGACCACTAGACTTCTTCAAAGAGCAAATCGTAAGATAAAAAGATTTTCAGTCGGGGAGTTTAAGAAGTGGTTGAGTAATTCAGAAGAACCTGAAATCAAATGAACTTCTTTGATGAAGAAGAATCTCTAAGAGGGCAATTAGGCAGTGGTAGATTGTAGCCCTACTTGAAGGTACTCTGGAGTAAAGACAGGCTCATTTCTTTTAGCGGGTCTGTTGAAATGGAAGCTGGGCTGGGTTACTCCAAGCCTTTTCTTTGCAACTCCTGGTTTCTCAGTGTGGAGTCTGCCCTGAGGACTCACAAAACTCAAACCAGTGTATGACCCTGGCACAAGAAGCAGGTGTGGGTGAAATTACATACCTCCAATCCTTCAAAGATTAGTTTTCCACCTCTTTAGAGTCTGAATGCACGTTGGGAAGGGAATAGCTACAGATTCTGGCCCGATCAATGGTCTACCTCTACATGGGACTCCACTGGGAGTTTGATTTCAACAGCCCTTTTTTAAGCTCTTGGAAGCAGAGGTGGGCTCTGCCTGCTGAAACAAATCCACTGAGAAATCCTGACTTTGGTGGAAACCAGGTCCACCATTCAAATTACACACCCAGGGCTCTTTTCTCATGGCTAAAAAGTATCTAGGTGCAGCCACAACTTGGATTTCCTGCTGCAGAAGAGGAGGCCTGACTGAGGCAGGAGAATTAACCCAGGAAATGGGGACAGACTATTTGGCTTTTGTTGAAGCCATGGAGAGGCAGGCTGGGGTTCTAAAACAAGGTGGAGGCTTTTCAATTATCATTATCTGAGTCTATTGAAAAATGAGGAAAAGAATGAGAATGGTGGACCAGTTTCTCATCTGACTTTTGTTAGTAAAACTCCATAGGCTTTGCTGAATTTACATTAGACCGGCTTCAGATCTGCATCTTTTCAAGTTTACTTCAAATGTCCCCTTTGAGCCTAGAAATCTGGAGAACTTGGGAGCATTTGATGTAATCCCCAAGCAATACAAAGGGGAGCCTGTTCTAATTGGGACTGTCTCATTAGCATTCAACACCACACTGAAAAGATGACAAAGGGCTGTGGCTGACCTTTCATTTCTCTCCATGCTGCCAAGCTTATGATAACACTTGTTTGAACTTCATTAACACCGTTTAATTGCCTGCATCACAATCAATACGATGTTTCCCTACCGAAGCCTGGCAAGGAAGCAGGGATGTGGGAGACTGAAAAGGGGCAGAGCACAAAAAGCAGAAGTTAAAGAGTTTTTCCATTGCACGCTGGTGCCCCAAATACCTGCAGTGCTGCAAGGAGAGGAACTTTTTTTTCTCATCCCTGCAGGGACTTGGTCTCCTTTCGCCTGCTTATTGTGCGTTAAAAGTAGCCCCTCAAAGAAAAGCTGAAAGTCAACGGAGATATTGCAAGTGTTCCTAACACTTTGAGAATCTTCCAATGAAGGCCATTCAAAATAGGTTTGCCAGGTTCGGGACTAAAAGTGACCTGATCTGTGGAATTCAGAATTATAACATCTGCAATATATTATGTTAACTTGGGTACAAACACTGCCTGGTCTAGACCCAGGTCCTGGGTCCGTGATCTCTCATCTTTTTCCTTTTCCTCCAGCGACTATGACTTGCATGGCATTAGCCTTTAGATCTCAAGCTCTTCAGCTTGTGAGAAAATGCTGTGGGAGCGTGTTTGGAGCACACAAAATGGATAGTCTGGACCCATTTGGGATCTAACCCACATAACTTGTCAGCCTGTGGCTTCAGGACTCTGTAATCAACGGATGGTCTCTTCCAGTGCAGTGCTTGTGATGTCTGTTGGCCACTTTGCAGCCAGCTTTACAAAGAAAGACAAATTGGACTGGTTTAGTACAATAAAGATGATAAGCTGTGTGCACCCTAACGTTGTAAGCTATTGAAGCTTTAAACAGAAACATTGGGGTGACTCCGAGGGCTTTAAAAGAGAGCATTAAATGACAGGTGCAAATCCTGGCTCTACTTTAAAAAAAAAAAATGCAATCTTTTGTGTCTCCTTTCCCTGCCAGAAAAAAAAAGGCTGAAGATATAGCATACCAAGGGTCAAGGTAGGGGGTGTTGTCGGTAGAGATAATAAAAAATGGTGCTGGAAGGGGCCTCAGGAGGTCAACCCAACCAGCTCCTGCCTCAGGGCAGGATCAGCTCTGTCTAAAGCCTTCCTGACAGATGTTTGTCTACCCCCTTCTTAAAGGCCTCCAATGACTGAGCCTCTGCTCTCCTCGGGCAATCCCTTCCTGCGCTTCCCCATCCTTCCCATCAGAGTGTTATCCCTGATGGGCAGACAAAGTTTCCCCGGCTGTAATTAAAGCCCATGCCATCTCATTGCCTCCCCAGGAACATGGGGTACAGCTTGTTCCCTGCCTCTCTGCGGCAGAGAAGTCTGAAGACTTCTCTCTTGTCTGTCTTTACTTTTGGTCAACAAAAAGCTCCTGATATTTTCTCATCACAGTAACACACTGCTCTTACACGGCGCAGTTTTCATCGGTCGAG